GTGAATAAGGTATATTAACTTAAAGCACTTTGGAGAAAGGTGCTTTATGGAGTTCACTCCGTTTTCTTTTATTAGTTTATGGGGCGTTCTGCCACATCCAAGATGGCGGACTCGTAGACGTATCCTTGCAACGGACTAACGGCTTCATCGTAAGTCTATGGTTCCGGTTAAGGGAGTAGTTCGGATGAAGAAAGGATAGTTAGGAGGAAACTTGTGAGGGAGGAATTTAAAATAATATTAAAACTTAACAATGAGCAGGGACAGGATAACATCAGTCCCATTGTGGTGTCAAGAGAAATAAAAAAGAAAATTGGAGACGTCGAAATGGTGAAGATATTGAGAGATGGAAACCTATTGGTAGTTTGTAAAAACGAAGAACAAATTAATAAGGCTTTAAATGTGGATAATATCTGTAAAAAAACAGTGTTGGAGAAAAAAGTACTGGGAGAAAATAAAAAGATTAGAGGAGTGATTTATGGGATCCCTCTAGATGAAGAGCTTGAGAAAATTAAGAGAAGTATTGTGGGTGCAAAAGTAAACAACTTGAAGAGATTGACTAGAACAGTAAATGGAGAAAGAGTAGGTAGTTTATCAATTCTCATTGAATTCGAAGGAAAAGAATTGCCACAAAACATCAAAATAGGTTATCTCAGTTTCCAGGTCAGACCATATATACCTCCACCACTTCGATGTTTCAAATGTCAAAGGTACGGACACTTTATCCAAGTTAAACTGTGGATACAAACCCTGGTAGATATAAAGAGAGAAACGTTATTTCCATAAATGTTCGATGTGTTGAATGGAAAGAATTTTTTTTAAATATATTGTTAGCCCGATTCTTTAGTTGGAAACCTGAGAATAAACCAGAGTCGATCAAGAGTAAAAAGTTGACATTTATTGGGTCACAGGTAAAGTATTTCAGCGCTGGGCTCTTCACAGAGGAAACCTCTCTCTCAGGGTCTCAGTCGGCAAAGAGCTCTGAGATCTGGGGGTGATGGGTCTTTGTCTCCTTGGCTAGGCACACCCCTCAAAAGGAGGACTGGACACAACCAAGTCCTATTGGTTAGTTACCTTTAAGACTAACAAGCCAGGTCGTAAATTCATGTTGATGACATTGGAATGTGGTACCAAATGGTGTGTGTGTGTGTGTGTTGACTTAAAGACGTGGATCTAATGCAACAGAGAGAGAAAAGAGAGAAAGAAAAGAGAGAGCAAAGAGAATCTGTGGTTACAGCCAGAGACTTCATATAGTTATGAAAGAAATAAAACAATTAGAAATCTACATAGATCATGTGATAGCATCTTATGCTAAAGTGTGTATTTATAACCAAATCCTAACAATATAAATGTAGAGACCAGATTTTAAATTCATGTTTATTAATCAGAACAATTTATTCTTAGATTATTTATAGGAGGCATCTTATATTCAACCCAAGTCTAATCAAATGGAAGAAAAATACATGGAAACTGGAACAATGGAGCAAAACTGTGTGAGAGAATGAAGTTAGATTTGCATACATTTGGTTAGAGAGGAAATTGGATTATGTAAAGACCGCTCCTGTATTTGACTGGAATCAGATCTCTGTTGAGGCTAGATAAAGGAAATATTCTCTGTGCATGATTGCTGTTATCGGGAAATCTTTCAGAGCAGAGCAATATGCCTTCGGTCAGGTGTTGTAGGTTTTGATCTTATGAATGGCATAGGGGCTGGAGTCCAGATGTGGCCAGATGTCTCCGTTGGGCAGATCCCTCATCTGTTGCCCCTCACGCTCCGCTAGCTCTAGTGTCAATGTCGACGGGCCGAAGATTTCTGCCATGCGATAGGACTGCGTGAGGCGACGGAAGGACGATGTGTCTGAGATGTCGTCATCGAAGAGGTCGTCCATGAGCTCCTTGTTTTGTCTGCGCGACGCCCTCAGCTCATCGCTCAGGTCAGAAACCAGACCCTTAACATCCCTCACAAATGTGGAGCGGAGACCAAAAACGCAGAGCAGGAACACCAGACCGGCACATATCCCAGAGACGAAGTACAGAGCCACTTTCTCAGGGAGACCTGAAGAAGAGGTCAAAGGTCAAAATGAGCTAATACTCATGTTAAAGATGACAAAATCACCATGCGAGTTCAATTTTTTTTTGATGGTTTGTGTTGTATTTACACCTTCAGGGGAATGCTTTCTGCACTCCTTTACAGCAACCAAGAACTCGATTTTGTGTACGTACCGAATTAAAACCAAGATGTAGTTGTTTTCAAATTAATCAAAAGAGGTGAACACTCAGAAAAAAATACAATCTGGAGATCAGGGGGTCAGAAGAGTGAAAAGTCAAAATAACAAAACCCATGTTGCTGGATAGGAACTGGGTAAAAAATAAATGGGTGCAGCTAAATCGGACTTAGGTCTTTAACCCTTAAGAACCAAGATTGACACAAGTGTAACAAACAATATAAACTCAAATGATTTTATTTAAAATATTAACCTGTGTGACCTGGAGGGCTCATTGGGTTATATTCTCTAAGACATTTTCTTTCTTCTTTCTTTTTTAATGGGTCTATTTTTTTTTTTTTTTTCAAGATTCTTTAATGGAACAAACAGGTTTTCTGTGTTCTCCTTCTCGGTTCTACTTGAGGACCCCTCAAAGACAGCTAAATCAGACGAATAAGCGGCCCTGATGTCCTCAGGCATCAGTGCACGTACCGAGTATTTTTTCAATGATCTCCAGAGAGTTGGTTAAGATCACATTTTGTGGCCTGTAGGTGGGGCCAGTGTACCATCCACCTGCAGGCGAGAGGGGTCTGGACTCAGAGACCAGTTAAAGTCTGCTGCATAGAACAAAACCTGTGAATATTTAGCACCACTCTCACCGTGCGTGTAGTCGGAGATCATGAAAGGATCTATGGACCCTCGACCCACATCTTCAAGAAGGTATTTGGGCACTGAAGGGGAAAAAGAGGGTGTTACAGTAAGAAGCAAACCATGTCAGTTTAGCCCTGGACAGGGACATCTGCTCTGTCTTTTTACCACAAGTGAAGGACACCCGCAGGTGTTTCCTGGTGCCAGGAAAACAAGGGTCCCCAAAGGTTTGGGTGTCTGCCAGGACGGAACAATTCGCTCTGCCGTGACATCGTCGTGACACCCTCCTCAGAGCCACGGGAGACAAGCACTCTGAAATGGGTAGCAAATATTCAGGAATCAGCAAATATTTAGATATATAATTCCATAATCAGTCATTTTCAGCAGCATAAAAACTGCACGTCATGGCCCTCCACTGTGTCTCTATCACCAACAGATGTTTCCTGATGTTGCTACTAAGATTCAGACCCATGTTGGTCCGTGATCCGGAGTCCTGTGGGCAGTTCGGACTGCCATGGAGCAGGTGCCCAAAGGAGGCGGAGTAGATGGCAAGGACGGTGTCATTTTTACACGTCAGCCTCAGACGCTCATTTTCACACACCAGTCGTGTGCGATGGTGCTCTGAAAATCGTAGGACATGACCACAAAGACAACAACAAAACAGTGATCACTCACAGAGAATCATTAACATTCATATTATGTTAAAACATAATACACCTGAGCTCTATTTGTTAGTGTCAAGCAGTCCAGTCAGCGTCAACGCTGAAATTGTTCGTTATCACCACGAGGTATGCAAATATCTCAGTTCTGCCTGATTTTTTATGAAACTGAACTTACTGGTCCCTCTGTACACTCAAACTGATGCTGCTTGTTCCACTGTTTCTATATTAGCCAATGAACTATTTCCTGTATTACTTCTTTCCAGTAAATGACAACGTATGAAATCCCCTTTCCTCGCTGCACAATAAAACTAAAGTAAGTCTCTGAAATAAAAAAAAAGGCCTCAGCTACCAGTTATATTTTTGTGTCAAACATTTTGCTTAAACTTAGTTTGTAACATATGTTACTATGTTAATCGATAATGGAGAACATCAGCATTCTAATGGGCTTCCAGATTCTTTCTGTTTTCTCCAGTAGCAGATTTAGTTAGTTTGGCTTTCTTTAGGATTAATCTTAAAGTGATTGTAAATCAGACATGTTTTAGATTGTAACTTCTCCTCATAAATAAACTGACCTCGAACAACAGTTATATCAGACACAAAGCTTTGCTTTAATCTTCTCAAATAAGCAATGCTGTTCAGTTTCTTTACCAGTTCATTTTGACTGTGTTGTACCTGGTCGGCACTTGTAGGAGACTAAGAGGTACTTGCTGGTGAGCGGACAGGGGTCCTGCCCAAAAACTGGACTGAGAACGGGGATGTGACAAGACTGCTGGTCCTGACACTCTGACACCACCTTCTGAAATGTCAAGACAACCCATTTTGATCCCTGCGTTCGGTAACAGCTCAGTTTAACGTGGCGGTGGTCTCGTCTACCTCAACAGCAACGGCAGACATGCATTCTGTGTCCTCCTCCACTGTCTGGTTTGAGCCTTCAGAGGAGCACAGGTGCTTATTGGGAACGTGTCGTCCATAGAAAGCTGACAGGACGGCCACAGATGTCCTGGATGGACATTCGATGATGAGCAAATCTCCTTCACAAGCATGAGCCGTGTGGTTCTTCAGAATACTGTGGAGATACACTGAGAGACAGCACAGAGAAAGCCAGTTTCAATTATTTTATCGCAAGTGTTAAAAGACGCATTTCTAACTTATTTATTGCAAATGATGCTGTTTGATGAATGGGTCTTCCGGTCATACTTCATATGTCAGTCCTGCTTGTGGACTGGGTGGTGTCCCCAGAGCCTCTGTCACTGGGTGTAACTCTTTAAACAATGCTTGGAGTATGACGACACACACAAACATGGTTGGCTGTAGGACACAGGACTGTAGCCTCCCTCCCATCTGCATTTCCTGTACACGGCCAATCCTCTGCGAGCATATTTGTGCGTACTCCTTTATTTACTTTGTCGACTCGTTTTAAAGACAAACATCAGATCGGACTTTTGTGAAAGTTTAAAAGTGTCCTGGGGAATCGTGGTGATTCATATTTAGCAAAAATGTTACAGCTCTGCAGGATTATGTTAGAAGTGAGGTCAAATCTCCAGGAAATACACGAGTCAGTACGATGGAAACACAACTCTGTGTGTATGTGTATGTGTGTATGTGTGCTGAACAAGGGCAGTACCAGGCACTCAATCACAATGAGCTATTATTAGGCTCCGGTCTCAAAAAAGCTGACATTTTTCTGAGGTCAGATAAAAAGAGCCAACATTTGGTATCGTTATCAGATGAATAACTCAAAATAAGTGGACTGTTTATTTATTGCTTTGGAATTATCTGGTCCCACTCTGTGAGTATTTAAGTTCAGGACCCGTTCTGCATGCCTGTTCACCCTGATTCTGGTCTATCAGCATGAATTTCACCAGCTGCTCTCAGAGCAGGATGTGCAGATTATTAGGAAATGTGTTTTCACAGCTTCCTGCTGGAAACCCACACAAATGGAAAATCATGCATCAGCTATTTTTTAAAACTTGTAATTGATGTAAAAAAAAGAAAAAAAAGAAGAAGAGAGCACTTACTTGAGAAATCAGGCACTCCATGTGCTGTGTGCATCTTCAGAGCTAGAGAAATAAGAAAGAGAAGACAAAAAGACCGGCTGAGACTCCATGGCACTGTCATTGTGCTTTGCAAGCAACAGACTTTGGAGAATTTATTGAAACGGGTGGCTGCGTAGGGAGAGGGTGGTCAGCAGGTCAAAGATGCCGTTGTGTTTAACAAAAAACAGGCATCCACAGTTAGCAGAAAAAATAAATCACAGTTGACTGATCTGAGCAGCATTTATGAGTCATCTGAAACACGTGTACATTTATCCGAAAACAGGCCTTTTGGTCTAAAACATAAAACATTTTTTTACATAGTTTTTTTTAGAAATAATACACTGAAAACAATATAGTGTTTGGATCTCTGTCGAAGCATTTTAATATCATGAGAAATACTGCACTCATCTACTTTTAGAGTTAAATGCTAACAGAAAAAGAGCAGGGTTGGTTTCTCAAGCCTCCCTGGATGATTTCTGTTAAAGGCCGCAATTGTAATTGTTGAACCGTAATTCTAAATATTTGTCTTTTGGCAGGGGAGGAGGAGCCGAGGATGCAGAGTCCCCATCGTTTGTCCCCATCTGACCTCAACACCCAAACACAGCCTACAGCTTTTGCCTGATCAGATCAAGAGCCTCACATCAAAGATGGTTCACTTTTTATAAACCTGCTACCTTACTTCTAATAATCCTGTCAGACGCAAATGCAATGAATTTGTCCCTGTTAGCCAGCAAGCTTCAAAATGTATCACATTGTCCTTTTTCAGGGAAGGACAACATGTTTGGTGGATTCCTTTTTGATGGTTCTCCTCTGAGTGGAAGGACGTATCTTGTATGACTCAATTCATGACACGAAAGTAGAGCTTAGTCATAGCTTTAAATTCCCCCATCACATCGGTCATACCTACCTAACAATATCAGAGGTCAAGAAAACGAACCAGGAATTAATCAGCCTTCTTCCAAACACAATAAGAAAAAAATTGGGAAGATCCACAAAGGAAAAGCTTTTCTTTAAGGTTAAAAAAAGATCTCCGCTCAAACTTTTTTTTTTTTTGCTTACAGTGCTGGAAAACATCTTAGCTTTGTGACCCTCTGTGTGTGGTGAGTTCAATGACATCATCAAGTCCCAGTCTTTTGGACTCCCTTTAACAGATCCTGTTTATGGAGATAAGGGAGTTTTTCCAGGTCACTTCCAGCTCCTGAATGTTTTTTAGAGATATGTGTTTCCCTCTAAGGCTTCCTTATTTTTTATGTAGAAAAAGAAGAAGATGTTTTGTCAAAATTTCAAGAATTGCTCAGTTCTTCCCCAGAAATTCTTAAGAAATATCCCTGGGTAGAATTATCATGACAGTTTAGCCCAGTTCAGTTTCATGCTCCACTCTTTTCCCATTTCGTATGCCCTGTCTTACTCATAATTTTCTATCCGCTGTTGTCAGGCAACCAAGAGCAACATAAGTCAATAGCCAACACAGAGCTCAGGATGTTATCAGTGATTACAGGAATCGAAACGATTTCATTTAAACGTTTTGATTGTGTTTAATTTATCAATCAGGTTCCTGTAAATACTCCATTCATTGGAAAAGTAAAGAACAAACTAATAAAGTTTTAATCACGTGTAGAATAGGGAGTAGCGCCTTAGTTACACACCACATTAAAATTCCATTCACCTCCCACAGGAGTGTGGACAGAGTGATTTGACATTCCTCTGCTCAAGCTGTCTTTGAGAAAGAGAAGAACATGTGTAAAAAGCAAATCAGATTTGGATAAAGAGCCAAAGTCATGACCTCTTTGACTTTGCAGACCTTCACAGAAGAAATAGGAGGATTGTTTTGGATTGTTGCACAAGGTTTTTTTGTCCTATTTACTTTTGTGAAATGGTCCAGTCTCTCAGTCACATTTCCAGGGTTTGTTGGTGATTTCTATGTAATAGGTTTGCTTGATTTGGCCCATCTCTCTGTAATGTAAACTCCCTGGTTCCTGCTTGAGATAACATGGTTCACAGCCTGGTGATTCTGATGTGTGCTTTCGTTTATAATCCCTTGTGATGTTATTACAAAATGAATTTCTGCTGTTGGTGTCAGTTCTTTCTGGGAGGCGGCGTAATTAAATTTCACCTCCCCTTATTATTGGAAGTGTTACCATGTTCCAGGAAACACCGGTGCCGAGAGCTGAGCCCACAGTACCCAGTCTTTGATTTATACTCTTTATCTGAACGGAAGACTTCACATTTCACATATTTTTTCCAGTAGAAAAATATAAAATTAATTTCCAGGTGAAAATTTGTGATGGTTTACTTTTCAAACAACTATTATGCAAAGTCTGATCTTTTCATGGTTGACCACTCAGGGGATCTCCACCACCTTGTTGCAACATATCGCTGAACAGAATTCTTACTTGAAGTAAAGCATTTTGAAGAATGCTGTTCTGTCCCTCCTTATGAGCTCATTTCTACAACTGACCAACTCTTTAATGAAACACCTCATAACAGTATTTCTTATAAGCTATGCCACAGTCTGGATATAGCCTATTCTTTTTTAGTTATGTATTTCATCAAGTTCTTTCCTCTAATAATTTTGAGAATAAATACTAATTGGTTCCTACTCATGTTGAACCTTCTCTGCCTTGGCTGATTCCTTTACTAACACTCATTTTCAAATATCACAGGGGACAGAACCTTTCATAGCCACTGCAACCAACATGGGCATCTTGTCGAGGGACCCTTCAAATGGAGCGACCTCAGTTTGAACCTTCAGTTGGTAAATGAAGGCTCTGCTCCCCCATTTTCTGCCACTTCAGTTTGGGTTGACACACAATTCCTGTCAGTTTTTAACTGAAAAACAAGTCAAATTGCTATGAAGACATACGAAAGAAAAGAAGCATGAGGACCCACAAAAACAATCCGTACATCTGTCATCTTCCAACTGAAAGACTCGCTTTCAGTTCCTGTTTCTCTTTTCAGTCATTATATTGCCATTGCAATGTTCTGTAAATTTTAATACTCTATAAACCAGTCATTAATAGTAAAGAACAGAATAGTCATATTTTTCAAGCAAAAGTTGTAGAGAGTGAGGGGAGTAAGTTAATCTTTTACATAAACATTTCTAATTCAGTTAACTTAATTCAGATGTTTCTAACATTCACAAAAAACAAAAAAGAGTGTTCAATATGTTTCACTTTTTGTAATAATTGTAGAAAACGAATCCTTGTTAATCCCTAACCGCACTGAGTCCTCAATTAATAGAATCATCGGAAGGTACGGTGGCTAAAATCATGAGTCACAACTGCATCCGTGTCTTACAATATAGATATACAGAAATCTATTTTAAGCTCTCTCCTCATATAGTTTGGCTTTGAGTATATAAGAGAGTGTGTACCCCGCCTATTTCCCTGGACCCTCCCTCCCACTGGCTTGTACAAGTTGGCTCAGAGCGATAGCCTCCCGAGAGCCCTCAGACAAACCTAAGCTGGCGTGAGGTGTTATTCTTTTTCCTGACATCCACCAGAAAAACACTCTTGCATTTATTCAAGGACACTTTTATCAGGATTCTCTCTACAGCTCTGTGGACTTTTCAAGAGTTAAAAAAAAAAACTTCACTGAAGGGGAATCTGTGGCTGACGGATACTTGGACTTTTCCAAAGTGATTGAAACTTTTTTCTTTCACAACATGGCACTTTGGCAGAGCTCAGACAAGGAGCCAAGCATCGAGTTGTTCATTAAGGTTAGTGTGTCCCTTTTCTTTTATTCTGACGTGAATTCACAGCCAAAAGTGTTTGATGTGATTGCACAGGAAATTGGAAATGCCGATGTTATTTGTCCTTTCATCATGAGGCAAAACTGACATCACGGCTGGATTTGGAACTTGATTATCCATCAGCCGTATTGTAAAACATCAGCTAAACTGCTCACATACAAGCAACATCAATCAGAGGACAACTCTACTTTTGATTGGTGCTGCCTCCAGAGACCATGTGCTGCAGATGTGGAGGTGTTTGTATTCCCCTGAGGGTCAAAGCTGGCTGTTATCAGTCAATTCTGAACACAGACCGAGAACCCATCTTATCAACACGCACCCAGAAAGAGCAGGCAGCGTGGAGAGCTGTGACCAAAACCAGGCACACCCACTTTACTCATGCATGCATTCAGATATCCAAAAGTAATAAACGTCCCCTCAAACATACATAAATTACCCTTTATCCTCCAATATAGTTAATGTGTAGAAATGTATCTGTAGTATCAACAGATAGGACACACTGATATGACAAAAAAAAAACAGAAGAAAAGACAAAAACAGGGCGGTGGACGGTACATTGTGTCATCATGCTGAAGGAAGGAGTAAACATTCAGTCAATATGAAAAAACGTTTGTCCTTTATGACGATTGGTCAAACAAAATTCATCAGATTTAATGTTTCTGCACTGCAGATTTCAGGACCTTTCGATTTGACAAGGCTAACGTTTTCATGAGAGCTGTGGGAGTCTTTTTTATCTTACTTTATTTAAAACATAGCAACAAAAAAAGCATATACATTTGAACAAATGTATCTTTGACAAATGATTAATCCGAGGTTTCAGCTGTGAACTGGCTCAATAAGGAGAGTAAATGTCGGTGTCTATTTTCCATAAGACAATGACCGTTTCCTTTCCGCTGGGGGGAAATGGCCCTGGACCAGACCCCCAGTCCTTTTAAAAATGGCCTGTAGATGGGCAAATGTCATGGAACGATCTTGTTCACAAGTTTAAACAGATCGTAAAACAGCGTTACTGATATTTTTCATCATCTTTTTCAGGCTGGACACGACGGTGAGAACGTGGGGAACTGCCCCTTCTGCCAGAGGCTCTTCATGGTGCTGTGGCTGAAAGGAGTCAAGTTTACAGTGACCACCGTTGACATGAGGAAGTAAGCACCACTCTGAGGGGGGAAAAAAACAGAAACACTTCCTGAGCATCTGGTTGTGGGGACTTTCACACAGAACTCTTTTAAGAAGCGAACCAGTTTGAAATTGAGACATTTCTTTGTTCCGGTGGGGTGTGTTCCCAATTTTTTGGCAGAAGGATCCCATACAGTTAACACGTACAAAGAACTCTCAGTCATTTTCAAACAAACACACCATTTAATTGAGGCTTTATTGTATGAATGTCTCAGGGTCATTACTGCCAAGCAAATAAGATCAGGAAAGGTTGAAAGGATGCTGACAAATGACTAATTCAGAAACACACAAGCAGGCCTTTTAATCTGAGTTTCACTCCCAGAGCTGTGTAAACTTAAAGCCTTTGATAAGATAATTTATTGGGAGGGACACTTTTTTATACTGACAGGTTAAATAACTGATTGTTTCTGAGGAAAGGTGTGTTTGAGCATTTTGAATTCTCCCTCTCTAAATGCACCACGTCCTCTCTATCTTTCTGTGTCCCCTTCAGGAAACCTGCTGAGCTGAAGGACCTGGCCCCTGGGACTAACCCACCTTTCCTTCTCTACAATGGCACCCTTAAGACAGACTTCATAAAAATCGAAGAGTTTCTTGAGCAAACACTGGCCCCTCCCAGGTATCATTGTGTTTAATAATTAAACTAATACAGATATAAGAAGGTTTTATGGTTTATTCTCTTTGAGCAAAAGGCACACCCTAACTTTGTCCCTCTTGCAGGTACCCCCACCTCAGCCCGCTAAACAAAGAGTCCTTTGACGTGGGTGCCGACATTTTTGCAAAGTTTTCTGCCTTCATCAAGAACAGCCCAAACAACACCTGTAAGTTTGGGTGCTAAAAAAGTACTATTTTCTGTGCAAAGTACAAGCAATTTCATTGCACCCCTGGCTCCAACAGACCAGATAAAATAAAATCCTCGTGTGTCTGACCCTCCAGTCCAGGAAAAAAACCTGCTCCGAGAGTTTAAACGTTTGGACGACTACCTGAACTCCCCCCTACCAGAGGAGATAGACCACAACTCGGCAGAAACCATCCTCGTCTCAAAGAGGAAGTTTCTGGATGGTGACCGCCTCACCTTGGCGGATTGCAACCTGCTGCCCAAGCTGCATGTTATCAGGGTGACCCAGATTTATTCTTATTTCTTCTCATTTTAGATAAAGAGAGGTCGATTCTCGTCAGAGGAGCATATCCCTTTTTTAACTGCATTTAGTCATTCTACTCAAGCAAAAAAAGGATGCTTTTCTCATTGATACAATTCTGAAATGCAAAAATCTATTTAAAATTGCTGTCTTGATGACCGGAATCAATCTTTTTCCTCATATCTCTAAATTAGGTCGAATATGAGACTCTAAGAACGCACAATTTTGATGACCCTTTCAATTTATTTCAGATTGCTGCCAAAAAGTACTGCGACTTTGACATTCCCAGCCACTTCACGGGCGTTTGGAGATACCTCCAAAATGCTTATGAGAGAGAGGAGTTCAAACAGACGTGTCCCGCCGACATCGAGATTGAGAAGGCTTACTTCACCGTGACCAAGAGGAAATAAACCTTTCCTTCCAGTGTTAATGCCCTATTTTCACTAAGTGTAAGCTTGCATTTAGACTATTTCATCTGTGAAAGGAGCTTCCATCACCACAATAAACTGTGGCAATGAACCAGAATATTCCATTTTAAGAAACCTTGAGATGCTCTAATAGTGCATTTTATTGGCCATATGTATTGATTGTAGTCACTCACAGACAAAGAAAGGCCAAATGTGCAATTGACTGTTGATAATAGGTTAGGTCTTTGTTTATAGTGTAAATATAGATGTTTTTGCTTGTTTTTACCAATCGACACCTACACTGAAATATGTATGATTGCGTTAGTAAGAGCAGCAGCTGGAGAAACAGTTCATTTCACTAAAATGATGTGCTACACTCCTGTATTTTTATATGATTAAGTTGAATCACTTATACGTTAATAAAACTATCACATCATTATGTCTCCGTCTTCATTTTTGTGTGTATGTACCTTTGCCTCGCACACGCAAAACTGCTTCACACAGATGGCATTTCTGATATTCAAGTTTATTTTCAGCCACAGAAAAAGACCATTTTACAGTTTCAAAAATATATCTTCTTTCGATCCAGTGTAGATGAGATATGTGCCATTTGTTGAACACAAAAAGGAGGGCGTTGAACAACGTTTCCATGCTTGAACCACACCAAATGTCCTGCTGCTGTGCACTAGTTGGTCACACAGTACTTCCAGAAACATGCTGTGTTCAGGGGCAGAAGAAAAAATAAGTTTTTCAAAACCTCAACATTTTCAGTGGAAATGTCTTGAAAGTCTGACAATGACCTCTTAACCGTGGACTACTGTGCGCCACGTTCTGCGCAGCGTCTCACCTCTTTTGTTAGTTTTCGGGAGACTCTGCTCTGATCGGAGAAAACCCTGAGAGCGAAGCTTGTCGGCCGCTGCCAGTTTCAGGACGACTTCTTTCAGGTCCTCAACCTGAAAGCAGACAACACAAGAACAAAATATGTCAATGACACACCCATCAGTGTTGCAGTACAGGTTTAACTCCAGCAGTCTGTCATCATCTGGTGTCCTTTTTTTAAGCTAAGTAAGGCATTATTTTGCCTTCAGGCATTTGTAGACTTTAAGTATGAAAATGTATTCATTTGTTTTCAAAATTCTATAACACATATACCACATTATTATCGTGTAAAGACGTGTGTCGGAGCTTACCATATTTCCGAACCTGTCCTGTTGTGCTGAATCCTTTGCTCCTGAAGGTGAAAGAAGAAATGTTGTTACTGTCCCGTGTCTTGTTTGTCTTACTGGAAATGTCTGTGTTTTGAGGTATGCAGATTTTACCATTGTTCCAGGAGTCTCTCCTTCCATTTAATGATGGATAGAGATTATTCACCTCCCTCTGTTCTGCCTCAGCTGTGTTTGCTCCATCATCCACTTCTGATACTAATTTCTGGATGAAGTCTGCTTAAATGAAATAAGTTTTTTCTTAATTTAACATACTCAATAAAAAAAAAAACGTACTTTGAAGAAAATAATTGAATTGGTGTAAGGAACATAAAAACATGCAACAATACAATGTAGATTACAAGTGAGAGGGAAAAAGAATTTCCAAAAGTGATCTGAAATTTTAGGAAATTGAATGAGTCTGACTATGAATGACAGGTTGTAAACTTACCTGCTTGTGGCTCCAGGCTGTTTTCAGGATACAGGGGCAGAGGATGCGTCCATGATGTTGAACATATCCCAGCGACAAGGGAGAGCAGAGCCAAAGAAAGCATGGTGTCTCCGTGTTCCGGCAACCAGACTGTTCCTCAACTCGACCGAGAACTTCACTTATATTTCCCTCACGGTCATCCATCAAGTTCTGATCAATACATTATCATCACACACAGTCTCCCTCTTAATGGTTTTGGGGCGATGGGTGAGGTGTCAGAGACACAATTTAGTGGCCCCTGTCAATTCAGCCGAAGCCTATCTCTGTTTGTTCAGAGCAGCCAAACAAATGTTTGTTCCTCAGCAGTAATCAGAGAAGCTCTGATGGTTTGTGTTTGACACCATCTCTGTCTGAAAGGCCGTTCAAAGGCATCATTGCTCATGGCCGAGTTCAAACCTGGAGGAAGTATGACACTTTGAGCATATACGTCATATTGTGTTTGATCGGTAGCTTCTGTCAGGCCATTAGTTTGGACTCTTGGGGCAGTGTGTATTAAATATGATACAAATTCTTTATGTTCAACAGATATCTAGTTGTGTTTATAATTTTATGTAATATTTTAAATAATCTTACTTTAGGCATGCTAGTCAAGGTCTAAAGGTTAGGTTTTGAAAAAAACAAAACTTGGGAAATGTAATTAGAAATAGAAAGAAACAACAAAGAACATGCTGATGTTTGTTTGTATATTTTATACTTTTTGTACATTCAAACAATTAAAATCTAAGTTGGTGATTCTCTTTTAACCAAAGGTAAAATTATGATCTAAGAATGATTTGTGTCATTGTGTCATTTAAAACATTGCAAAAAAGAAATCCAGTCTGTTTTTAACACAAATCAAATATAGAAAAGATAAAAGGAAAGTTTCTAGCTTGAGCTTTTCAAAAATTGTTCGAGGTGTAGAGTAGTTTGTCAAACTGAAAGGTCACTAATACTTTTTCGGTGAGTGTACATGGTACCAGGTGATTCATTGTCTCCACGTCAAGGAGGCTTCTGCTGAAAACAACATTTGATGCATTCAGCTCCCGGGTTGTAAACGAGAAGAAGAAAAACCCGATGTCGATATGCAAAGCCCAAAGGTAAAACTGAAACCTACATCATTAGCAAACAGAAATAGTTTAAAGTTATGTTGTTCAGCAGACTGGGCATAATCAATCTTTTCAGTGAGGCATTTCATTTTTGTTTTTCCCTAAATAATCACCCTTGTATTGTGCACTCAACACAGAATACATATAGATACGTATTTTTCAAAATAAGTATCATTCTTCTACAAACAAAGAGATGGCAAAAAAATAAGAAAGAGGATTTGTGACTATTTGTTTCAAACTGAAGGGGGCAGCCTTCACCTTCGTTGTCAGTCAGTCTAACAAACGAAGAAGAAGGAGAGCAAAGAAGAAGAAGAAGAAGAAGAACGCCTCTACCTGGCTAGCGTTCTCTGCCGTCATATGCCTGCTGGGGTTGACGTGTTCGCCTGGTCAAACAGGAAAAGTGCGACCTGATAGACTGCAGGCAGGCACGTCCATTAGTAGAAACGGTAAATATACTTCATTTTTTCTTTTTTGTTTCTAACAAGACCCCTAGCTAGCTATCCTTGATAAAAAAGCTAACAGTTAGCAAGCAGATGATTGTCGGTGTGACTTCAGCTTTAACCCCTAGTCTGGGGTTTAAAGTTACTCGTTAGCGGTCTTCGCGATATACCTTTTATATATTATATACAACAAGGACTAGCAAACATTAAAGTGACCAGTGTAACGTTTTTTGTGTCAATGTAAACATTAACATCTTGCGTTTAACCTCAAATTTTTTGGATAAAAACAAACCGTAATAAAGAGAATTAAGATAATCTGTAGCATCCCAGGGTCATGGGATCCTGTCGTGTTTAAAATGCAATAATGTGACGTTAAAGATTACTCTTATACAGCCCTACAATGTTTGCTTACTGCCTGGAAGTGTTACTTTCATCAAATAGTCCTACAACTGGTTTTGGGGAAGAATTTTCACATTTAATTACATGTGGTAAAACTGATTTGACCAGCTAAGAATAAACTGAGAGACCAGAATTATTTCTAAAGATGAAAATACTCTCCTCTTCCTTTTTTTTTTTTTTTTTATTCTTTTTTAATAAAAACATTTTTTTTTTTTTACACTGAATTTCCTTCAGTGTGGAAGTTTGACAATTGACTTCAATGGTGATCAGATCAGTGTATGAATTTTAAGCAAAACAGCTAAAGCCCAGACATGATGTAGCAACCAATCTTGACAGATGATCTGTCCCCACAGCCACAGTTGTGTTTCCAGCTCTCCTTGTGGCCAGAGAAGGGGAAGCCATAAGCTGTTTTTGCTGAGTTTGGAATTGGTCCAAGCCAAGAACAAACATTAGCTGGTGGCTCATTCTTGATTGTTAGCTGATAGTCGGGTAATTCAAGAAAACTTTTACTTGCAAAAAAAGGAGGTTTAAAAAGTCTGTCAGTTCTTTGTTAGCTGTATTTTATTACTTTAGGGGCAACATTTCTATGTAGACTTTCAAAGCTCAACCAAAGATACCTGTTTGGTGTGTGTGTGTATATATATTTATATGTGTATAGTTATTTGTTTTGTTTTTTTAAACAAAAACATCTGGATTTCTGGTGGCATTTTGACTGAATTTCTGTTTTTCTTCAGTGACTGCCGCCAGCATGTTGTCTGAAGGAGGCTCGTTCATGAAGGGGATGGTCATGGGAGGCATATTTTGTTTGGTGCTGTCTCTCATAAGTAGCTTCAACCCCATCCCAAAGTCTGGGACAGAAGAGCACCATCATAACCATCATCATGTCAAAGCAGCAAGCAAAGAGGAGCTCCAGAAACTCTCCGACAGTCAGGCCCAGCACCTGACCAGCCAAGTACGCGTCTACTGTGTGATCATGGTCCAGCCAAAGAACATTGTTTTCTGGGCGACCGCTTTAGACACCTGGAGCAAACACTGCGACAAGCCCGTATTTTACACCTCGGAGTCGTCCAAGGCGCTGGAGGCGGTGGACCTCAAAGAAAAGGACGACTGGGTTCGGCTGCGCAAAGCTCTGAAGCACGCCTTTGAGAATGCCGGCGACCTGCGCTGGTTCTTCGTGGCGCAGCCCAGCACCTTCGCCATCATCGAGAACCTCAAGTACCTGGTGCTGAGTAAAGACCCGGACGAACCGTTCTACCTGGGCAAGGCGGTGAAGTCCGGGGAGCTGGAGTACGTGGAGTACGAGAGCGGCATCGTCCTGAGCCACAACGCCCTGAAAAGGCTGGTGAGCGTGTTCGAGGACGAGGAGAAGTGCCCGGAAAGGGGGCGGGCTCTGTGGAAGCTGAGCGAGGACAAGCAGCTGGCCGTGTGCCTGAAGTACACCGGCGTGTTCGCGGAGAACGGAGAGGACGCGCACGGGAAGGGCCTGTTCAACAGCCGGAGCGTGGACAGCCTGATCACAGACAGCATGAAGAACAACCCCACCGACGTGGTGGAGGGCTGCTGCGCAGACTTGGCCGTCACCTTCAGCGGGATGTCCCCCAACCAGATGCAGGTCATGATGTTCGGAGTTTACAGGCTCCGCCCCTACGGCCACGACTTCCAGGACTGGTTAACGTTTTACCCCCCAGAAGGTTCAGACAATGATTAGTCTCCTTCCATCAAGCTGGACGTGTCATTTTTAAAGTTTTTGCTTCTGTGACGGCAAACTCTAGGGTGGGAGGACAGTTTTCCTTAAGCTGTTTGTAAAACAGGGTCCCGGGTGGTAAAATGACTTTTATGTATATTTGTACTTTTTGCACTTGAAATGATGGCACCCAAATTCTATGTGGTGTTAGTTATGGATGTACCATCACTTGAATGCAGACAGAATTAAGGGGAAAAATGTAAAGGTCGTATGTGTGCTATAGTGTGATTCTCTTTTTGTGTTGATTGAAGCGTTGTTGTGTGTTGTAGGCGTCAGTCTGTTTGTGGTCTTAAAGCAAATTTAGAAATTATTTTCACTTAAGTTCAAACTTAGCTTGTTTTAAGGCATTATTTTAAATTCAAAACTGCTCCATGAAACCTTACATCTCCGGTTCAAAGGCTGGAGTTATGCATCCTAGATCGGTGTCTCGACCCGAACCGACTTCAGGAGCCCCGCTCGTTTGGGTGTTCACAGTCAAATGAAAAACGTGTGCTTTACAGTCTGAGGTTTCAGTGGAAGTTTACTTTTTGTACTTCTTTTTTACAAACACGCAGCCATTAAAATGGTTGGGTGCGCGCTTTGGATAATGGTAGAAATAAGACTCAAGCTGATATTGAGGTGAGCTGGAAAATAATCCAACAATGATTTTGGTTGCCTCTGTGTGCAGAAGAGTGCGGTCATCTGTTCTGATCATAATTTAATATTTTTGCCTTGATTTCTGAGAGTCAAATTACTTGAAATAGCGAGGGCTTTCGGTTATTACATATTAGGTGGAAGTCAAGAAATAATCTCAATTTATTTATCTTTTTTTTGTATCCCAATTTTTTTTCTTTAAATCTGTGCAGCCTAATTCCCTAACCAAGCCATCCAAACGTTTCCTTTGCATTCATGCTACAACCTGAATGTTAATACAAAAAAGAGAGTTGAGAGAGTTCACCCTCCATTTCAGCAAGCATTTGACAGACATAAGTGAATAACCGTTGGATAACCAAAAGCAGTCTGATGAAGAAATTCTAAACTTCTATATTGATCTTTTTTTAAATTTTCATGAAGACCTTTTGTTCTTATGTTTGCTGTATGATAAAAGTCTGGTATTAAAATTAAATTGATATATTTGATTCTACAAGAGGTAACATTTCTAAGGTTTCTTCATTTAAGTTTGTCAAAGTGCTCCACCAAAAAACAAACAAAAAAAAAGCTTTTCCATATGAACATCTTGAATAAATTCACTGACATGTTTTGCTGAAGAATAAAATGCATATTTTTCAGCTCTATTGACCGTAGTGTTATATGTCAAATGGCAACCAATGGGAGCCTAAAACCCTCTGAAGGTACCACTTAGATCAGATGTGATATTCACTGGAAGAAGGGGGTGTGTGAGCCATTTTCTCTGAAAGGAGTAGGACAACTGGTTTTACAACTTAATTTCACTGGCAAACCCTCAGCTACAATTACTATTCACACATCTTCCAACAAAGAAGTCACCTGTGTAAATTCCTGCAGTGCCACTGGACCAACGAGCACTTCCATCTAACACAAAATACCTACTGACCATGGTTTAAAGCAAGATCTTGTCTTTATTTGTGCATCATGATGGTCGATTTAAAGCCTCCAGCAGGTTACACAGCTATGTCTGTAAACAGTTGACTGGCAGCTCCAGAGCTCCACGCATCATCTCGGGTGTAACAGGTGCTGACGTCATCATTTATACGTCCTCATGTGCCACAGGCCGTCGTTCAGATAGTGCACGTTCTCGATTCCGATTCCCTTGTTGACTTTTTCTCTGTTTGCAGAAAGAAAAAAAAAAAGATTAAGACGAGCTTCCCCGTTAAAAGGAAGCGGATCTAAATGTGAGGAATTGGGCTGAACTCTTACATGCTGTCTGCTGACATCTTCATGACGCCCACACAAAGTGCATGCTGTTTCCCCTCTGCCATAATGGCCTGCGTCCACTTATTAAAGAATTTCACGTCAGAGGTGAAAGTTGCAAAGTTAAATATGTATTATTCCCCCCTGGGAAGGGGCATATACAGCACAAATATATTTAACAAGCATGTGTTACAGCTCAAAGGATACGACGACTGTGTCGGCCTTGGCGGGGTAGAGTTTGGCGCCCGGTGACGTCAGCCCGGGACACATGATGTTTGCACCGCTCAGGACAAATTTTATGGCCCCTTTGTCTACTTGCTGGTGTGGGAGGATGAAAGGATCTAAGACCACGGAAGGAATGATTAAAACCCAACAACGGTGAGCTGAAAATCATCGGGCAGGTGGCGGGAAGAGATCTCACATTTATGCAGCAGCCTGAGCGTGGGGTAGAAGGGCCCCTCTCTTTGTCTGAAGAAAAGCAGCTCGCCGTTTACTGTCAGGATTTCAATGTGCTCGTGGCTGGAATAAATGCAGAAAACTACAATTGGAGCAGGGAGTTCACTTGGCCACAGAAGTGTACAGAGGCATGGACAGAAACAAATACGAAGCCTACCATCTCACTATTTTGACAGGGTCCTTTTTGGGCATTATTTGATTGAGCCATGACTCGATGTCGGGGAACTGTTCCAACAGCTGGTTTTTGATGCCTTTGATCACAGACGTTTTCAGCTGGATGCAGTTAGACACATTTTCTTTCTCATCAAATCTGAAAAAGTTTATCAGGAAATTAAACGACAGGGAAAATGCATTTGTATAAAAACATTTTTGAGATAGAACTGTTTCACAGTCCTGTTAGAATATTTAAATAAAGCAGTAATTATGTATTTTGAGGGAAACTTATTTAATTTATGTGGTGCAGACACTCTGCATCATCAATGCAAATATAGTTGAATGTACATAGTGGAAAAAACTTTAGCTGAAGACAAAATGTTCTTGATCTGCAGATAAACTTGTGAGAAATTTTGAGATGATTACTCTGCCAATGACAAAATTTCAAATTAGAAAATCTCATCAGACAACAATATTACAAAAACAAGTCTAATACGTTTAAGGTGATGACGATTATACAGATATACTTAGAAAAAAAAGGCAGCTCTTGTAATTTCCCCCACAAATTATTCCAGTTTAGTGATGGGAAAGCAGTACCGGTATATTATAAAACCTTTCTAGATTTGTAAATGTGAATATTGTGAACTATATTTTCTTAATCCATACAACAGCACATAATTAGCTCTGCCAGTGATCTGTTGTAAAATGTATGGCTGGATCATTTATTACAGCTGCATAACCATGACAACAGCATTAAGCTCAGAGGTGAATGAAACAGAGGGATCACTACATTTCAGACAGAATTTCAAAGGGGAAGTTTTTTGGCTTCAGTGGGGACACAATAGTAGCAACATTAATAAGAAATAAGTTAATTAAAAAACTATACAACTATACCATAATTATGGAAATATAACTAGAAGCAAATAGTAATTATTAGAAAATTATGCCACCAAAGTTGCAAAAAAAGTAAATCAGAAGGTTTTTATTTAACATGTACAGTTGTGTGTTTACGTCATTATTAATTATTGCCCAGTCAGCTGACTGTCACAGAGAGGAGTTATAAGCCATTATAGCCACACTTCTTTGGCATTCAGTGGTGTGACGCGGCTGAAAAAGCATCTTGCTGATGGAGATCCTGTGATTAACCATCACACTGTGCTAAATGTTGTCCGGTGTTGTATTTAATTTGGACATCATCCTCCCCTTTTCTACCCTTAGTCTGCAGTGCACAACCGCACTGAGGACAGCGCCAGCGACCACAGACTCATAAAACACCCTGAGCATCATGCAGCAGATGTTGAAAGGACAGAAAATAGGGGCGTGTGCAGCCTTTCCTGTGGATTGCAACGGTACACAGCCTTATTTAATGTTTTCTCCCTGAGACTGACACTGAATACATCTCCAATTCTATCTCCTTTTAAAACTACAGTTAATTTACAATATGTCAAGTTCGTATTTTTAATAAACACCATTGTTTTTTAAGTGTTCATCATGATTAAGATAACCTGAGATGCAACTTAAATTTAGTGTGGTGAATATGTAACTGTTTCCCCTAAATGATGTTTAGGAGTAAAGCATCATATTCACATTAAGTGATGCACAAGCACTTCTGGACTGTCATTCATTCATTCATTGACAGACTTCACACAAATGATTTCTTGTCAGAAAACAATTGACAGAGAACCATTGAATACTCGGGAAACACTCCTCGGGATGACATCTACTATGGCATTTGTGTGATTCCATACTTCACGTTTTATACGTGTAAACAATGTCCAACTTATGGTAGATGTCGCTGATTATTTTTCAGTGACACGACGCTGAAAAAGATTTATCTTCATATCGATGGCAGATCTTTTTCACCAAGACAAATTACCTTTCATCACTCGTATTTGCTTGCCTTAATTAACACCTGAAGGTAAAATTTTCATCAACTAAATTTAGCTTCTGCGTCGCGCTAACCGTTAGCTGCCACAAAGTACTGCTAGCTAACGTTTCAACTAAAAAAATATCAAAAACTTACTTTTTAAACATTCTTGCTTGTCACGGTTTCAGCCTTCTTCAAATGTGTCAATGCTTATACGAAATTGGTGTACCACGTCAGGAAAGGTAACCAAGAAAAACTCTAAATACAACTCAACTCTGTCTCATACTGTTACGACTATCCCACGCTTCAGTTAGCAGAGCAGGGCCAGCAGTGTAAGATCGCGACATTTCACGACAGTCAACACGTAAAGGCAGTGTTCTTCTGTCACCATGGTAACACATCTGCCGGCGATCGGTTGGAAGAAAACAAACTAGCAGTGTAGTGTTTACTCTTTCAGAGGTAGCTAATCTGGAATAAATACATGCTTTTTTAAATGTGTTTTCTGAAAAGTTATTCTCTAAATATAACATATTTATATATGTTATATACATATTCATATAAATATGACATAACTGATTTTGCTCTGATACACATATATCGTATACAAAAAAAGGTGGACTGAAAATTCAAATAATGCACTTGTTCTATCCTTATTAATTACATGAAGACATTTGTAGATAGTTTCGAAAATATATATATATATTTTAATATACTTAAATCTTTAAACGACTACGACAGCAACGTTTGACCTCGAGCACTCAGCGTTGCCATGGCGCCATCTTGCGGCCAAACCGCAACAAAGTCGGTATTTTTAAAAACACGCTTGTGCAAAAAGTACTTTTGTACAAAGTACTTCCGGTGGGGTCACCGTATACCTTTTACGAGCGATTTTTTTTCGTGTTTACCAGGGGTTGTTTTGATAACACTTTAGCTCGTTAATAGAACGTTTACATGTCTTCCGTGAATAATTTTCTGTAACGGCCGCCTCACTAGACCGCTTTATCTGAACTACTTCACGACGCGGTTCGACAAGCGAGGCAAGAAGAGGAAGCAATAGCCAACCATCTTTATTCCTGTGCCAGCAATAACAAGAAAGAGACAAGGCTAGGTTTTAAGTGGGGCCGAGTACTTTGTAATTTATTGTCTGTTTTATAGTGGATAACAGAATTGGTGAAAACCTCCCCGTGTTGAGACAGACAAAAGCGCTCGGACATTGTGCTCTTCCCCCGGCAAGCCTAGAAGTTTCGGATCAAAATACTGGCTATTAAGAATTAGTATTCCCGTTTTTTTCATGTTTCCAACAGGTTTATCTTCCCCTAACCCCCCACCACCGCCAACCCAGGAGGCTAGACCCGCGTCTACTGATGTCAAAAACGACAGCAGCAACATCACATCTCCGAAAAAGAGGAAAATAAACGGCTCTGAGAGGGAAGACACTAGTGACACGATCTCTTCTTCGCCTCCCAAGACCCTGAATTCTTCCTCCTCCTCCTCTCCCTCCTGCTCTCCCACTCCGCTGCACATTCAGAAGAAGTTGAGGTTTGAGGATTCGGTGGATTTTATTGGACTGGATGTGAAAATGGCTGAGGAGGCTGCTGCCGCCGCCGCCGCTGCTTCGTGCTCCAATAACAAAAGCAAAGCCATGTTTCTCCCCGGTGGCGTGGGGCACCACGCAAACGGACTGACGAAAACCGCAGGATCCGGCACTTTCTCCAGCAGTAAACCCGGTGCTGCCAAGAAACTAGTCATCAAAAACTTAAGAGGTATCAGAGACGCTGGTGGATGATGTGTTTCAAGTTTAAAGCCAACTTCTGACAAGTCCCTTTGAATACAGTGAGGGGTGCCTAGTGGATACCTCTAATAGGACCTGTATTGTTTTTAAATAGCTTCTGACTGGTTTTAAAGGCACTGATACTATTAAGTACCATTACATTTACAATTTAGCTTGATAAGAAGTAATCTGACACGTGTAGTTAGTATGTGTATTTATCTGGTTGGGATAGGTGTAAAAAAAATGACTAGAATAATTTATTAAGTAAAAACACTCTTCTCAGTCAAAATAATCAAAACAGTAAAATACCAAGAAGTGGTTAAAGTTGCCATAGAGGTTAGGTAAAACGTGATTGAGCTTGTTTACTGTTTTATAAAGTAAATATGTGTTTATTTTTATGTTTGTGCTTCTTTAAAACAGTACATCAAACAGCTGTAGACACTGAAATGCATCATTCAGTGTATTCAACTGTTAACATTTGTGTTTTGTATTAGAAAGATTTTGATAGTGGCTACCTTGATTTTGTAGCAAGGGTTAAACACATCCTGAACCCTAAAACCTGGTTGTGATATAAAATGCGAACAAAACAAACAAATATAAATAAAGCAACACATGGACAGTAAATATGTAATTTATGGGGTTGGAGCTGTCCGTCATATGAATAGCTGTCGGATTAAACGGGCCTCTCTCTGGTGGTGTTACGGCTAACGAAGCAAACTAAAGACCAGATATATGATTTAATTAAAATACAGCACTCATTTGAACTCTGATGTTCTGATGAAGTTCAGTGTTGTCAGAGGATTCTTCTGCATTTTCTTTTCCTCACAGAAAAACCTAAGCTCCCTGAGAACTACACACAGGAAACCTGGCAGAAGCTGAAAGAGGCAGTGGAGGCCATACAGAACAGCACTTCAATCAAGTACAATCTAGAGGAGCTTTACCAGGTATCGGGACAGACCAGCTCCCTCGCACTGGAAGCTTCTGCATGTACGAACTGCAGGCAGTCTCTTTGCAATCATCACATACATTAGCCGACAATTTTCTCCCTCCCTCTCCGCAGGCCGTTGAAAACCTCTGTTCCCATAAGATATCCGCCAAGCTTTACAAACAGCTGAGATCTGTGTGTGAAGACCACATCAAGGCACAAATTGATCAATTCAGAGAATATCCTTTTACTGTTTGAGGCTCCAAATCTCAGTGGTTATTTAGGATGAATCAGACATGCTGACAACTTGCAGGATAGGTTGTGAATAGCACTGCACTTTTGACTTAACTTTGCTCCCTCACGGATGCGCTGGACAGTGTGCTTTTCCTGAAGAAAATTGACAATTGTTGGCAAGATCATTGCAGACAAATGGTAAGTCACTTTAATTACTGGAAACTATTTTGACTGTGGGCTAGGTGCATGAGTTTTTGTGAGTAATGGGCCATTGCTCAGAATTACACAGAACTTTGAAGACTGATTAAACATTTGATATCCAGATTAGGTATTAGAAACTGTCAAAAATACAAAATCATGGGTCTGTATTTTATGTGAATGAAATTATATTGTACATTAATTCAGCAACGCATTGCCTAAGTTCTTCTGTCGGGCTGAGAGTTGTTGAAAAACTATGGTAAATCCAACTTAATATCTGCTGGACTAATGTGTTCCTATGGGGCTCAGAACTGACTATTGCAACTCGTACTGTTTATAGAAAGCCATTGAGCAGAATCAGGTTGATCTTGTAACAAAAGTGTCAGTTTAGAAATGACTGAAGAGAAGGATATCTTTAGGGTGGCATCATTTTCTTTCACAGTATTGTGCAGATGAGTTCTAGTATCATCACACTTATATTTAAATTATTTTCACATTGTACTGTAGTAACTAATCCATGAGAAAATAGCTGAAGAAAATATTTGTTCTTTCGCCATCGGTTTTGATAGCTATCAGTCCAATAATTTAGACTCAGAAGAGAAGATATTTTACAGCTTTGTTTACATGCTGAGTAGACTGGAACGATCAATGGAGCAAGCTTTGAACTCAAATCTCACTTGGAAATGGTTAAAACGAATTACTTGTGTTTGTCGCACAGATCATGATCAGGAGTATATTTTTGTTTCTGGATCGCACCTACGTTCTACAAAACTCAATGCTGCCGTCAATCTGGTGAGTGTTCGGGGACTGATCGATGGTGTGTGTGGCTGAGTCCTGTCAGGGAGGGTGCTGAACAAGCTACTATGCTCTGCAGGGACATGGGCCTGGAGCTGTTCAGGTTCTACATCATCAGTGATTTGAAGGTCCAGAGTAAAACTATCGATGGGATCCTGCTGCTCATCGAGAGGGAGCGAAACGGAGAGGCCATAGACCGCAGCCTTCTGAGGAGCCTGCTGAGCATGCTCTCTGACCTGCAGGTAACACGCAACATACCTTTTCATTATAACCTTACAGCATACAGAAGATGAACTTGCGTATTGTGGAGTTTCCAAAAAGAGTTTGGCTTTGGCTTTGGCTTTGGCTTTGGCTTTGGCTTTGGCTTTGGCGTTGCGATGTTTCTGCTTCTGCTGAACTGTCAGTGTCCTGTTGACTTACTGAGACCTGTGTTTTCTCTGCCTCCAACAGATTTATCAAGACTCCTTTGAGCAGCGCTTTTTGGAGGAAACTAATCGACTGTATGCTGCAGAGGGACAGAGGCTGATGCAGGAGAGAGAGGTGATTATATGAGCTGGTGTTCTTTCCAGTGCGAATTTATTTTTTTTGCACTTCAGTGATGAGCAGGGTGAATGTGATTCTGTGTTTTAAATATAAAGAGATTCAGTTTTTTAAAAATGTCAGTAGTATATTTGGGTAATGCAGATGCTATTTTAAAATAAAAGTTTCTTAGTTTCTTGATATGAGGAGAGCACAAGCTTATCTTAATGTAACGTTGGGAAGTGATTATATTTTATTGGGTGGCTGGATAAAGTAAAATTTTACATTGGAATATTGTTCATTTCTGCCAAAAAACAATTGCTTGTAGACTTCATATGCCTGTTGCCGTATTTAATACATTTATTTTTGTTGTCCAGCAGCCCATTGAGACAAAGTGTTTAGCAAAGATCAAATTTAAATCATTGTGAGGCTGCTTCTTTGTTGATGTAAAGTCTGTATTTTATAGCACAGGGTTATCTTGTGCTTAAGTTGGAAAACATCTGTGCTGCTATAATAATTAAAAAATAAATCTAATGCTAATATTTATTTTTTAGGTGCCAGAATATCTCCATCATGTCAACAAACGTTTGGAGGAAGAGGCCGACAGAGTAATCACATATCTGGACCAGAGCACACAGTGAGTGTTGGTCTGCAGCATTCAGGTTGAAAACGAATGGCTCTGTGTTGTTGTGTCATCTGAACTTTTCTTTGCCTTTCAGAAAACCTCTCATCGCTACTGTGGAGAAGCAGCTGCTGGGTGAACACCTCACCACAACTCTGCAGAAAGGTACACATCTGCAAACGCTTCATGTGAACATGTACCCAAAAGGCCGTGTGAAAAGTCCCAGACGGATTTGAGTTGTCCTGATGTGTTGCTGTAAACCTGCAGGGCTGACTCACCTGCTGGACGAGAACAGAATTCAGGATCTGTCCCTCCTCTATCAGCTCTTCAGTCGAGTGAGGGGTGGTGTTCAGGTGCTGCTGCAGCACTGGATCGAGTACATAAAGGTGCAACAGCATTAACAGAACTAAAGAAAATCCAGCTGGAAGCTGCTTGGCTTCACTAAGAGTTTAGGGTGTTTTCATTGATTTAGAAAAGTAAATTTCCTTCTGTCGTCTTTCTGTCTTTGCAATGCATGCCCAGGCTTTTGGAAGCACAATCGTGATCAACTCGGAAAAAGACAAAACAATGGTGCAAGAGTTGCTGGACTTTAAAGACAAGGTGGATCACATCATCGATGTGTGCTTCCTGAAGAACGAGAAGTTTGTTAATGCCATGAAGGAGGCTTTTGAAACGTTCATCAACAAACGGCCGAACAAACCTGCTGAGCTCATAGGTACGCTTACCACCGATCACCTCCGTGCCTTCTGTGGCCGAGCACGTAGTCATAATCGGCATGAAACGAATGTTTTCAACTTTTTTAACAGCAAAACACGTGGATTCAAAACTGAGGGCAGGAAACAAAGAGGCAACAGACGAAGAACTGGAGAAGATGCTCGATAAGATCATGATAATCTTTAGATTCATCTACGGTAATATTCAGCAGACCTTTTATTTCAGTTGAACTCGTTTTTTTTTCATATTCTAACTATGTTTTCTTTACTGTAGGGAAAGATGTGTTTGAAGCCTTTTATAAAAAGGATCTGGCCAAAAGGTTGCTGGTTGGAAAAAGTGCCTCAGTGGATGCTGAAAAATCAATGCTGTCAAAGCTCAAACATGGTCGGTGCAATCTGTCGCACTTAAACAGACTTTTTGAAAAGTGATATTAAAGTGATGCACACAGACATCTAACCTTTTTTTTTTTTTTTTTTTAATATATCCTCTCAGAATGTGGAGCAGCATTCACCAGCAAACTCGAGGGAATGTTTAAGGATATGGAGCTTTCTAAAGACATCATGGTGCAGTTCAAACAGGTAAGGACAGCAGGAGCATCAGCAAAGCCTAAATGAGACCAGCATCTGCTGCTATATCCCAAAAAACACTGAACTGAAAACAGAGGAAGCCGGATGTTAGTCTGGTTTCATTATTTTCAGGAGTGAAACTAAAAATATCGAACAAAAAGATGTTAGTGGATTTTTTTATAGACCCTCTTAGTCTTTCTTAAGTTATTTTGTTTTGGCTTTTTTTGTCATTTTACAAATTCTTTGAAACCCTAGAAAGGGATCTATTTACTCAGAGTAAAAAAACTAAAAGAAATAGATTAATAGATGCTGAAGGAGTGCAGGAGGGTGCAGCGGAATAACACCACACGTCCCTCTTCTTTTTGAGTATATGCAGTGTCAAAACATTCCTGGGAACATTGAGCTGACGGTGAACATCCTCACTATGGGTTACTGGCCAACGTACATCCCCATGGAAGTGCACCTACCGCCAGAGGTGAGTGCTGAGCAAATATTGAGAGCATGTTGTTTTTATAGCCCCCCTCATGCTGTAAATATACCAAATGTTACTGTGTTACGCTTCTCTTATCTTTGTCCAGATGGTGCGGCTACAAGAGATCTTTAAGACTTTCTACCTGGGCAAACACAGTGGCAGGAAGCTGCAGTGGCAGTCGACATTAGGCCACTGTGTCTTAAAAGCTGAATTCAAAGAGGTTTGTTCGATGTTTTGGTCTTTTTGGTCTTTCTTTTTCTCAGCTGCGTAGTAATTCTGTTCTGTCATTTCTTTAAAAAAGGGTAAGAAGGAGCTACAAGTGTCCCTCTTTCAAACACTTGTACTTCTGATGTTCAATGAAGGAGAAGAGTTCACTCTAGAGGAGATCAAACTGGCCACAGGAATAGGTTTGTATGATCACATCAACATTTGCTTAATTTGCTACAAAGAAGTGGCATGCCTGTTCTTCAGCGCCCCTGGTCTGTTGCAGAGGACAGCGAGCTGCGCCGGACGCTACAGTCACTTGCCTGTGGGAAAGCTCGTGTCCTTACCAAAATCCCAAAAAGCAAAGATGTGGAGGACGGGGACAAGTTTTCCTGCAATAATGACTTCAAACACAAGCTCTTCAGGATCAAAATAAACCAGATTCAGATGAAAGAAACGGTATAAACGCCACGTCTCAATGTGCTAAAAAAAAAAAACTTCACTTGTGAAGAAATGGTTAAAGGCCTGTTTTTCCCCTAAGGTGGAGGAGCAGGCCAGCACTACGGAAAGAGTCTTTCAGGATCGTCAGTATCAGATTGATGCTGCCATCGTGCGGATCATGAAGATGAGGAAAACTCTGAGCCATAATCTCTTGATGTCTGAGGTGTACAACCAGCTCAAGTTCCCTGTCAAGGTAAAAGAGCACCAGTCTGAATCAGCTTTTTTAATTTTCATCTTTGTTATTAGACAGCAGCAGTCTAAAGCTGAGGGATGGTGAACAGCTGAGGCCTCGGCTGTAGTAATAATGTCGTTATTTATGGTCTGCATTTTGCCGTTTTAGATAGGATGCCATTTAACTCAGACAAAAATACATTTTTGACAGATTTGAACAGGTTATACATCACAATTTATTTAAAACATGTAAATGTATGATTCATTACTCACGTGTTCCGCTTTATGTCTGTCATCTGCTGGGATGCAAAGGCAACAATGCTCATTTAAATCATGTAAATGTTTACCTGCCATTAACTTATTTACGTGGCTACATTCAGATAAGGATCCCTTGCTCTAGCTAGCTGAAACCCTGGCAGTAACCAGGATGGTCTGGGGTGGATAAATGATCAACTGACACAGTTTCTGAATATGTTTAGTCATAACGTTCTTTATCAGCTGTCATAAAAATGTACATAATCATATCTGCCCTTAAGGATTACAATCATTAGCACAGATTGCACATCTGTTTAGCTCCAATTAGGAGATCTTTTTCAACTGAAATGGGTACTGTGAAGATGCTAAGATTTAAAGATTTTTTTCTTGCTCTTGGTCAACTGGCATTCTTTAGTTTCACGTGTTGTTTTTTATAGGGATTGTTGGAATGTTTCTGTTAAATATAAACTGTGGGTTGAGGTGCCCATCGTGCTTTGATGTGGAGTTTTACCCTCCCTTCAGTGGTCATTGAACACACCAATACACTAAAAAGAGGAGGTGTTTGGAGGCATTTTCGTGGAAATGTTTTGGCTTCAGCTCCCAGGAGCCGTGACAGGTCCTGCAGATGGGATTCTACATGCTGACCTTCAAAAAGGCTGCTGAGCTCAGGGCTACTGTAGTGGGTAGATTTTTCCTCAGACACACGGGATCATTGAGCGGCTCTGAAACCGACAAATACAACTCCTCTTTTTCTCTGAAAAGTATTTCAGTGAGTTCTGAACACAATCAGCAATCACTGCTTGGTTTTCTGTGTTTCTCGACCTGGTCGACAGCTGAACGTCTGTCCTTGTCCTGGTGTGTTGGGCCTCTAACAGACCAGAATAATAAATAAGTTAACTGGAGACAAATCTGTGCCATTTGAGAAATGAATCAGACTGTTTCAGTCATTTTTTTGCAAAGTGTTTTTCTGAAAATATGCACTATTCCCTCTGATTTATCTTGTTACTTGCTGCTTCTTCTTTTGTATATCACTGTCCTGTTACTACACTTAGTATCTCAGCCAGTTTGAATCCATAATATTTAATTTTCTAAGCGTTCTCTGAGCTTCACATGCTTAAATGTATTTCAGAAAGTGTGTTTCAAAAATATATATAAAATGTCCCTCAGGGTAAACACACAAGGAATTGAACTGGTGTTTATTATCTTGGTTATCTGTATTTACCCTTTTAATAGTCTATTTCTTAAAAAATATATATATATGTATAAATATATATTTTGCTGCTTTTGTTGTAAAAATGGACCAGTTCTCTGAGGTCTGCCTGTTTGTATTACTTGGGAGTGTTTTATTTGGGGTTGCTGGCATTGCAGCAGTCCTGCAACAGAGATCAGTTAAGTTGATTTAAGTGAACTTCAAACAATAAATTGTCTTGGCATGAGTAGGGTGTCTAACTTCTTAATTTATGTCTTTCCCTCTTTCAGCCTGCTGACTTGAAGAAGAGGATAGAGTCTCTCATTGACCGGGACTATATGGAGCGTGACAAGGAGAACTCCAACCAGTACAACTACGTGGCCTAGTGAAAGGAAAAGAAAAAGCAGCTGGTCCAGATAAAATGAAAGCAGTTCCGATTGATCGGTCTCTAAATCTTTTGCTCCAGTGGATGTTAACCATTATCATCTTCAACCCAGCGACCGACATGCGAATGGCTACCGCCCCACAGGGTTTTTGTCAGGGGTCTTGTGATCCTGTGGACTGCATGCCCATTGAAAAGAGAATATTGTCCATATTTCTCAGTGCCTCTGTGAGAGCTGGGACAAAGAAGACACACAGTTCAGTTTGCTGGTTTGTTTTTCTTTTTAATGGAGAGGAAAAATATTTATTTTCAAACTTACATTCTTTGTCCATAGTTTGGATCAATAAGCTCTTTGTTATCAAGTCACTTTTTTCTCCTTTTTGTTCAAGTATCCTAAACAAATGCCAACACACCTAACAATTCTCCAAATGTACCACAAGTTAAAGAGAGAAAAGCAATTAAAAATGATACTTGTTTCTTCTGCCATTGCCAACTGTGGACTGCTGGGGCAACACTCAAAGTAGGAACTTCTAATTTAGGGAATATTTGTGGTAAATGTGTGATCTGCAGTTAAGTTTTACAGTTTTCAAGGCCATGTAGCCATATGATAAAGCTGTGATCATGAACACACACACACACACCCACACATCTGCTCAAACCAGAGTTTGTGCCAAAAAAGGAGCACTTCTTTTGTTATCGTATAATCAAGCTGCTAAAGCCAGTTCAGTTTCACAAGTATATGCAAACCAGATTCTAGGTTTTTTTTCTTTGTGTACATTTTTTTATACATGCGTCACTAGTGATATTTTTAATAACGAATGTCCTGAAATCTGCCAGTGCGCTGCTCCTTAACCTACGGCTGACTGTCTTTGTTAAGCTGTAGGTTGACAGAGCAATAACTGCTCAGCATTGTACTTTTGCCATGTTTTCTTTTATTTCCTTTAGTGAAAATCTCCATGTTGGGCTTGCAGACCTTGTTAAAAATGGAGGTGATATGCCTCAGTACATGAGGAAAATCTGAATGATTAGACTTACCCTTGTTTGTTTGAGTCTGTTAGGTTTATTGCTTCAGATTGAAATAAATGTTTAAATCGGGTTTTTATTTTTAATCACTGTTTCCAGCACATTCCGTTGCATTTGTGTGTCTGGGTCAAACATAGTTCTAGTAAGGGGCTATTAAATGTTAACATTTTCGTGAATCATAATATAAAATGTACCAAAAAAAAGTGAAAAGGAAGTAAAGCTAGGCTGCAGCCCACACCTCCTCAGTGGTTGACACATTGCTCTGTCATATGACTTCCATTTCCTGGTAGTCACACCGATCATCATCATCCCAAAACCGAGCGTCCTCGTCGGCTGCCTTCAGTTTCTCTGCGGTGACTGACACTCCACACTACCAGGCGACCATGTCCCGATATGCTGCATTGGTTTTACTCTTTCTGGGACTCGGTATGTATCACCGCGACATTAGCACCTTGAAGAAAATAAGGAAAGCGTGGTCTGTTTCTGAAGATTGACGTGATAAAAACTTCTGGGACATTCTGGGCCTGGTGCGCCGGGGCTAAAGCTAAATGTTGTTGCTATTGCCAATAGAGTTTAAATATATTTATCAGTTGTCACGTGTTTTTATAAAAACGCCTGTAAATACTTTTGCAGAAGAACACATTATTGTACAAGCCGTCGTTTTTATAGAGAGGCAATTCACAGTCGTTGTGGTTTTGCTAATGTAGCTTCACTGCTAATTGTTACCTGCGTCAACGTCAACCTGAGAGTCGGGAAGCACTCAAATATGCTCGCAAACACAACTGGTGTTCATGTCTTCAAACACCATAACCTTAAGAGCCCAAAACTTTCTTTTCAAAGCAAGTTGTTTGAAAATTGCTCTTATGCCAACTAACCACCTTAGATAAATTTCAGGCGTCTAGCGTCTGCGAATTTAGCCATTAGCTTACTGATTTGGGAACACTTGTTTTGATGCCTTAAGGTCGAGTTACTGATAAAGTCGGACGTCGTCGGAGACATATTTATGCCTAACAGCAGTAGACATAACCGCAACAAGAGAAAGATTAACATTAGCCAACGTAACACATCTGTGTTACGATTTAAAACGTTTAATCACAGTGCTAGCGGGATTAGCATTAGCATAATCTTGCACTTTACAGTAAATTAGCACGTGACATCAGAGCCATAACATTGTCGTGAAGATAGATGTGTTAGATGTGGCGGGTTGTAGCCTTCGTTATATTTAAAACTGTTTTTTACTTTGTTGCTGTGGAAAATGTACCTATTTTGTACATCTCTAAAATATTCATTTCAGGTTAATGATAGCTTTTCTTGAACTATTAACATTAGTCATTCTGAATGATTTTCAATATGCAGGTTTACCTTTTGTACCGTATATGCTGTTATTAACTAGCTGTGATTTCTTTTTCCTGCTTATGTTGATGCCTGGGTGTCTTTTTTTAATGACCAGCCCCAGAGTTCAGACACAAACATCTGCTGTAGTTTGTGTTCTGTGGGTTGATATGTTCACACGACCTGTGGGCCTGACACTCATCTGGGTTAATGTCATAACAGGGTGGTAAAACCTTATCTGTAATCTAAGTGGACCTTGCCCTCCATGTTGAATTGTCTGCTGTTACTCAAGCAATTGAAAGTTAACAGAATCTGCTACAATTTATTAAATGTTTTTGTTTGTTTGGTTGTTTAATCGTTATAATAATTATATATTTTTTTATTTCTTTAAAATCTGTCTGAGAATGAACTGTAATTATGTGTAACATTATCATTTCAACATGGCGTTTTGGACTTTGAACAGTGAAATTAGTTCTATTTGGAGTCCTTAATCTAAGCTGTAACTTATTTTTAGGGCTGAGTGTCAGCTGGTTAAAGCTACTGCTCACTTTGACCCACTAAAGGAGAAGTGGGTGTAGCTTATAGATAGAAGAGCTGAATTGTTACTTGTTGCAACTCCATCCTGTGAGAAAATACATGAAATTGCTACTCGCTGTCGGGAATTAACTGAACATTTGTAAATTGAGCATTTACCCCATCTGTTTCAGCCTTCCAGATGTCACATGGCATTGAGGTGAATGTCACAAAAGACGACAAGTTATGCCTCTACGCCGATCTAATGCTGAACTTCTCTGTGTCCTACGAAACAACCGACAATAAGGTGGGTGTCTGGTTTTCTCCTCCAGCCAGCTATGTAATTTAGCAGACCAGTCATAAACACTTTGCTTGCATGTGAAAGCTGTTGCTCTCTTATCAGCTCGCTTCATCAGCGTGACCATCACGTCATTATGATTTTAAAGCACGTGTCAACACGGAAAGGGGAAATGAGGGGTGGGCAGATTTTTTGCTTTTCCGCCGCTGGAGAGTTTTCCTGATGCACATCCTTTGGTTGGGTCCTTTCTCTTCCACTAGCTGGTTGCCGGTGAAAGACACAGTCACAGAGATATATGTAGTGATAGAAATATTTTACCCTAGTGTAGTTTTATTGATATTTCACACTTTTTAGTTGGCATATTATTCAAATAAAATATTTAGCTGATCATGATCAGGTTTCAGTCTGTATCAAGTTTACAAACTTCACGCCTAAACAGTGACTCAGATATCCTTGTAGTGTTTTTTTTCTGTCTCTTCATGTAAACAGTTATGTAAATTGAAGTCTTCATTTTTATTTTTGTTTAATTTTATTTTAAATCTGGATGTTTTTCATTTCTTGTAAATTTACTTCTAAAGTCTCAAAGTGGATGTCAAAGCCAGGTGTGTCAATCTCTCACGCTGCTCTTCGGAGTCCCACTGAGCTGGGTTAATGACATGTAACTACAAAGACTTAACACCTCCCTCCTTGTGGGCGGGGATAATGATCATTGATCATGATTAATAATGAAAAAGCTTTTTTTTTTTTTTTCAAAGCCCGTGCGTGACTTGTACCATCTGGGCGGTGGAAGCAGGGACTGTATTTAAAACATAAACAAATATGTATATATATATATATATATATATATATACATATTTTTTTTTTGTAAGCATTACCTACTGCATTGTCTTTTCATACTGGAGTTGCCAGAAAAAAAGTGCCTGCAATTTCCTTGACATGCCTGACATTCGGCTTGCTCTGATGACAGAGTTGACAGATGAATATGCTGATTTGGTGGAGGATGACACATATGAGAGTACTGGTGATGTTTATCAGCAAACAGAAACGCGCATTAAGCTGCAACAAAGGAGGATTAGAGAGCTAAGTGGGGGCAAAATGCCGCGCCGTATCAGCAGGAGAGATAACGGGATTGATGGATTTTCCAAGGATGCAGCGCGAGGCAGAGTTATTAGTGAAGAGTCATCTCAGAAATGGCAAAGGTTGCATCACAGTCATGCTGGACCCAAAGAGCAGTGGGAAAAACGTGTTAATTGAAATGATGGATAAAGAATGGAATTGAAAAAAGTGTCTGTCTTTTCTATCTGAGTGAAACGACCCACTGCGTCCTTTTTTACGTGAAAGACGATCAATATTTCCGTCAGTATTCCCCATAAATGTTACAAACTGGAGTTTCTGAAGCTGGATCCCGTCTGGCCGGGAACTTACAAAAGACTCTCCGCTCTCTTTCAGACAGCAACTGTTGTCTTCGACCTCCCAGCCAATGCCATTTCGAAGGGCAGTTTATGTGATAACGCGAGCTCCACCCTGATGCTCCAGTTTGGAGACGGCCACTCCTGGAGTGTGAATTTCACCCTGAAAGAAAAGCTTTACGAGGCAGACGTCATAACCTTTACTTACAATCTCAACGACTCTTCTGTCTTCCCTAATCCTAAATCCAACGGTAAGTTCCCGGCACACGTCATTATTATTCAAACAAATGGATTCACGGACAAATGAAGTGGCCTTGATTTTGACTGTTTAACCCTCTTTGGTTCCTGTAGAGACGGTAACCGTGACCAATAAGCCTCCAACCACCGGGGTTCCCCTGAACACCTGCTACTCCTGTAAAAGTAGAGAAGTGGTGGAAGCCGTTCAGGTCAACATGACCCTGTGGAACGTGCTCATTCAGGCTTTTGTCGCCAACGGCAGCAGGAGCGAGGAGAGTGAGTACAGCCGGCAGCGCACGCCACCCCGCCTCCCTTCCCCTGACCCCCCCCTGACCCTCCCTTCTGCCCTCTTCCCTCCCAGTAACCTCATGTGCCGCCGACGTTCCCTCCACCACGGCTGCCCCCACCACGCCCGCCACCACCACGCCAACCACGGCGCCCGTCACAAACGGCACCACCACCGCCCCCCCCGCCACCACCACCCCCACGCCCGCCCTGCCCACGCCCGCCACGGGGAAGTACAGCGTCAGCCCCGACCAGAACGCCACGGCCTGCCTGCTGGCCAGCTTCGGCCTGCGCATCGCTTTCAAGCAGGATGAGGTGCGTTGGCTGAGAACGTGGCGGGGCTGCGGGCGCGCCCCCCAGTTTTAGGGAGACGCAGAGACGAGGGGCAAAACAGCACGCCGATTTGATTTGCTGTCTTCCGTCTATCCCAGAAATACCAGGAGATGAACTTCGAGCCCAACGGGACGCACGTGTCCGGGCTGTGTGGAGTCAACAGCAGTGAGCTGGTGCTGGTGTCGGATGACATCGCCATTAACCTCACATTCACCAACGTGAGTAACGTTTGCTCTCACCTACGTAGCTGCTGAGACTGGGATCACAATCCAGGTCTAAACTGTATCTCATTACCCAGCGAAGACGAAAAAAGCGGCAACATTTTTCACGCCGACGCAGAGCTTGTTCTTAGTCAGAGCTGTTTCAGAACTCTTCCTGGATTCTGATTGGTCCCCTTTCTGATCTTTATTTCCAGGACACAAAGAAATTCCGCCTTCATGCTTTGAACATCACCGTGAAGACCGTCTCTGGTAACTAACGAAGGCTCTTTCTGCCTTTTGATATCCGGGCACCTCGCTAAAAGCAAGGCCATGTCTTCTTTTATTGACTCGTTCTTTTGTAGGTGTGTTTGCGGAGGCCAACACCAACCTGAGCCTGTGGGAGGCGGCTGTGGGCAGCTCCTACATGTGCAACAAGGAGCAGAACTACACCATCACCGGCCTGCTCTCCATCTACACCTTCAACCTGCAGGTGCAGCCGTTCGGCGTGGCGAAGGGCGTTTTCAGTACAGGTAGGTCAGAGTGTGGCGGCTGAGGGGGAACGAAACGGGGAGGTTAACGAACGCGACTGTGCTCCAAGAGTGCTAACAACATGTACGGCTTTCCAGGCTGCTCCACTGGTGCCTCTCAGTGTTTTTGTTTCAAATGAGTCTCTGTTCCATCTGTTGACTGACTCTCTTTTCATCTGCAGCCCATGAATGTTCATTGGATGACACCAGCATCTTAATCCCAATCATTGTTGGCGCTGCTCTGGCTGGCTTGATTCTCATTGTAGTGATCGCTTACGTGATTGGTCGGAGAAAGACCTATGTCGGATACCAGACCCTTTAAATTTGTTTGCAGATGTTTCTCAGATGTCACGGGGTTCCCAAGCCTGGTCCTCTGGTCTCAACTTTGTCCTTTAATTGGCCGTTTAAAACTCCCAGAGAAGAAATCTTTTAAAACGTAAATTAACAGCTGTCAGGAAATAATTTTTATTATTTGTTGGTATTGAGAGATAATTAGAAGATGAACACTTTGTTTCTCTAATCGGGTTCATTAGGAGGAAAATCTGAGTAAAATGGACGCTTTGCCGTTCTCCCAAGGGACCAAACTTGTCTAACCCCGGTGTGTTTGTGTGTTCTTTTGTTGTGTCTGTCCTTTTTTGTTGTGTTTATTGTGAAAGGGCAAGTGCAAGACCCTCAAAACATTTCGTAAAAAATTTCAGAGAAAAGTCACACGTTCAGTGGGTGTAATGCAGGTACATGGGGGCATACACACATCTGGGCTATGAATTGTACATATTTTTAGCACAAGACGAATAAGCGTTTAAATTAGCTGCTGAAGGATCATGCACTCGCTCAGCTTACATTCCCATGTGTTTTTGTTTGCCTTTCTTGTTAATCTCCGAGCAAATTTACAATGTCTGACCCTCCATTTCCAAAATGATTAAGTCATGTTTGTATGTTTGGAACAGTGTTCTCCTCTCAACTCAGCGCAGCACGGTCCGGCAGCTTGCTCGCCCCCTTTGCTCTCAGATCATCCCTAACACAGATTAATCTCGACTCCACCCTTGAAAGTGGTCTAATGAAATGCTCCTCAGCCCATGTTTGCCCTGTAGACCAGGAGAAGCATTGGGAACTCGTTCCTGTCGTATTGCAAAGTGATTGTTTTCTAACATCCTAACAGGCAGAGCAGTTTAAAAATCTGGATGGAACTAACATCTTAAGGGCTTATTTATATGTAAAGTATAAAAGCCTGGAGCTTATAACCTCCACGTGTAGAATCCATCTTTAGTGTTATTATTTATATCTGTGCGTCTGTGCTTTTTACATTTGCACACACTCCAGAGTAAATCTGAACGAATGCAGGATACATTTTGGCATTATTTTTCTAAAATTAAAAAAGGGATAGGGCTATTATTGTGTAGCTCTTCGCTTTCTGAACTGTGGCAATTTCCATATAAATGCACTACGACTATCTTTTTGTTGTTGTTGTTGTTTGTGGTCACATGACCTCACCTGTGGGACGCTCAGAGCTTAGCCTTAGCTTGGAGGGCTTCAGAAAGCTGAAAGCCTTAAATGTTCAAATTAGAGTTACACAGGAAAAACGTCACAATTCTCCAAAAGAATAATTTAAAGGTTTTTCTTTCTCGAAGAGAGTTGTTTGGCTACTGTGCGTTCATGCAGCACAAAGCTCACCTGAACTTGTCAGGGTTTGGACCCATAGAGGGAGTGCGTTCTCCTGAAAAGCCCAGGCCCTCTGGTTCCTCAGAGCTCCTGGCCCCACAGCTGTCGGCAGATTCCAATTCACAGGCAGTTTGTGGCCCAACATGTTAGAAAAAGTTTCATCAAACCGGTGGTAGAAAGTTGAGCTTTTCGCGTAGAAGCTGAAAATAGGTTGTCAGGGACGGTTAGCCACCGAGTGTGTGTGTGTGTGTGTGTGGTACAGTTATCGCTGTGCTTTTAGAAGTTGAGGATTAAAAGTTGCTTTTCTCAGCTTAATGTACACGTGTATGAACTCTTGCTCCTAATCAGAAATGAGCTTTGATTTTTGCCTGTGATTTTTTTTTTTTTTTTTTTTTTGCTGTCGTGTGTTTCAGCTTTGTACAAACTCAGTTGCCTTAAACACGAAGATGGTTTTGCAGCACCGGTATTAAAATAAATTGGAGTTTTGTCTGTAAATCACCCAGCAGGCTCGTCCCCGGGACCTGACCTCTGACCTCTGTTTTGTCCATCAGCAGCACACCGACACAGGTGTGGTAGTTCAAACTGCAAATGTCCGACAAAGGGAATCTGCTGCAAAACCATCTTTACCAATGTGTTCAGTGGAGACAAATGACTGCTGATTTCACCTGCATTTCTCATGCTGTTAGCTATAATAAACTGGATTTCAGTCTGTGTCATTGGAGCTTTTTAGTATTTTCTATGGAAATAAAAATGTAAGAAAAAAAAGTAAAGAAAAAATGTTTCCATGGTGTTGATTCTGCAAATATTCTGGGAAATCCTCATTCTTCGTTTCAGCTCTTCTGCGTTCACAAAAAAACAAAACAAATCTATTTCCCCTGTTAAAACTTGTTGTACTCTCTTCACTCTTGTCTAGCTGAGGAATGCCTGGCTGACGTGGAGAGCTTCCTTGTTCCCATAGCGGTCGGAGTTGCCCTTCTCGTTCTCATTCTTATCGTTCTGCTGGCCTATTTCATCGGGAGAAAGAGAAACATGGCCACGGGCTACGAGTCTTTCTGATTTTAACCCGCCTCACTCAGAGCTTGCTCCTTCTCAAAAGACCGTTGCTGCCTATTTATCTGGCTGCTTTTTACTAATTGTGGAAATAGTGTGTGTGTGTGTGTGTGTTGTTTCAGTGTTCACGTGTGGTGTGCAGAGCAGACTTTGGGCGAATGGCTCGGCGCTCTGGGAGGTTTGGGGTTTTCTGCATTGGGGGGGGGGGGGCTCCGCATAAAGGCTGGAAACAAAGGAAACGGGTTGCCATGGCTCCCAGTCACTAAAGTCCGTCGACTCGCACACCTACAGCTCAGATCTGTGTTCAAAGGAGCGGACTGTCTTATTGGTGGCAGGAAGTAATCCTTGGGAACTCAATTATGAAACCAGACGAATAACCGAATACTTGAAGTGGTGATTGGAGAGCAAAGGAAAGCTGTTTCGCTTTGTTTCCGGTTTTTAAGCCTCAGCGGATCCAATTTAAAAGAAAAAAACAAAAAGAAAACTGACACAAAAGAGAGGTATTGATCTTCTAACTGGAGACAAGCTTTTTTTCTTTTTCTTGTTTTTCGATTTGTGCATGTTTTTCCTAAAATCTCCTGAACATTAATTCTAAAACTGAGGTAGCCGTTAAGCTGGATTCACTTGAACTAATCAGCACTACGTTGGCTTTGTTGCTTCCACTTGTAGGTCCTGGTGTCCGTCTGCTGCTTCCCGCTCTGCTTCTAACTCAAATCTTCCTGTGAGCAGTTTGGTGCTGACGCAATAACCTGCTGTCTGTCTCTTTCTGTTTTTCTGTCAGCTGAGGAATGCTTCCTGGACTCTGATTTGAGCTTTTTGGTGCCCATTGCAGTGGGCGTGGCGCTCAGCTTCCTAATCATCCTTGTGCTTATCTCTTACCTGATTGGCCGGAGGAAGAGTCGCACTGGCTACCAGTCTGTTTAATCCCACACGGCTGCTTCCGCCTCCCGTCCCTTATCGACTCTCTCAGCTCTTTAAAACACCCCCCCCCCCCCGCCCCTCAGTGCATCCAAAGCTTCCCAGATCTATGCTTTTTATTTTCTTTTTTCTTTTTTAAATTGCCTGAGGCAGCGTTTCCCTGCAATAACCTAAAGCTTTTCCCTCGAGCCACCGTTTCCTCCGCCCCAGCAGTTTCCTCTGTTTTACTGATGCCAATGATTGAACCAAGTTCCAAAACTTTTATGATCGACACTGAGTCGTTCAATTATATATTGCATGTTGGCATTTATGGCTGTGAGTAGCCATCCAACTCCTTTCCAGAGGTCCCTCCCTCCTCAGAGAGGCTTTTTGCCCTTCTGTGCTCTATAATGGTATGTGTAAATTAATCTCTTGTATAGAATGAATGACATTGATTTTTTTTTTTGTGATGATGATGATGATGATGATGATGACGTGAATGTACGAGCAAGCTAATAGAGCCGCTGTCATTTATTTTTCAAACCTCCGTTTGTGTAATTTTCATGTGACATGAATTAACAGCTCAATGAAATGCTACTTGTTGCACATTTAGTCACTTATTTGTAGCTCCAAGAAAGGGACAAAAGTGTAACCGACACTTTACCAGCACTGGGACCAGGTTTTTTTTTTCTTCCTCCTTTTTTTTGTTGTTGTTTTTTTTGTGTTTAATGCATGTTTTTGTCACTCACCCCAAAAAGATTCAAGATCTTATTTTTGTTGAATTGTACACTTCCGTTCATGTGAATCTTGGTGAAGGAATTGTAGTGCTGTTCCCTTGTAATCCTGAGATATTTCTGAAATTCAGCAGCCACAGTCGTGTCGGACTTGGCTTTTAATGGATAAATTCCCGGTCACGTGACTCCCCCGTGGGGGCTTTGCTCGTCCGGCGAGGAGCAATGGCCGCGCAGTCACGCCGTTTGATTGGTGTGACCCCCGGTTATGTCCGACCTGCCACTCCCCAGCAGCTCTGTGCCTTTCTGTTGTGCACCTCTCAAGTTGTTCACCTGAAGCTTGTCTCCATCTGAAGAATGTGACAGGGCGAGCGTGTTTTAACACAAGCGGGGAAGAAATTAAATAAAGTTTGGTTCTTGTTTTGTATCCCTGTCGTTCTTCTTGCGAGCTGAACTTTGACCCGCTGGGAGGGCGGAGACGGCCTGTGGACGTCGATCAGCCGAGTGCTTTTTAAATCCAGCAAAAACGCAAAGGCGTGACTCTCACTTCTACTGGGAGGTGATCTGACCCCAGAGTTACCCACCAGGCGTTTATGACTTGTTGGGACAGAGTTTCTGATGTTGTCGATTTCTGATTTATTATGGTCCTTTTTTAAAGATGTTTTTTAAAAGTGGGGTTACCATGTAAAATTGGATAGATTCGGACCTCTTAGGACCACAAGGAGCAGAACAATTATAAACAATTCCTCATTACGGTGCAAATGTACATAGTGTCTTTGGTGATCTCTTCACAATCATGTTCCCCTCCTCACTGTTTTTGTTTTTAATAAATTAATGGAAATTATTTTCAGAAAACCCAACGATTCAGACTTGAAAGAAACTTTAAGAATACAATAAGAGAAAATTGTATTTATTATAAGTGCTGTAATAAGAATAAATACAATATTGAGACCATGTTTAGTAGCACAATTCAGGCAGGATTAATGCTAAAACAAACAAAAAAAGTAATTTTCTTTAATGTAAAATGTCACGGACCTCTCACAAACTACTTTTTTGCAGAGTATTCCTCTTTATTGATCAGTTTTGTGTAGTATTTCATTTTCAAAAGCATGTTTTTACAAAAGAAGTGGATACTTTTACCATAAATGTACATTACTGCTCTATTCAACCAAAATATAGTAATCGTGTATTTGCATTATATCTGTTTTTTTTCTTTCTTTTTTTTTTTACTGTGTAAGTACAGTACAAGTCCTGCCTTCAGTGTTTGCATGAGTTCCTTGAATTCTTACAACATACATGCTTGAAAAATATAAAGCAAAAACAAATTAGTACACTTGTCACACACAAATGTGCACGCAAACCTTAATCTAACCTGTCACAATGATCCTAAGTCCCTAATATCGTTTTAAGACATAATCGGATTTGCATAGCCAGAAAAGCTAACTATTGGGCAGTGTAATTTAGTTTGATTAATCTTTCTAATCATTACAAAGCATCAGGAACTGAACTGTAACTCACACTATGCACTGGGCCTGCGCCCAGTGTTGTGAGTGCACGTGCCCACCGCACGCTCAGGCTTCAACCATACGACCAAAAAGCAAAACTCTACTTCTGAGGGGTTTGTTTCACAGCAGGAAGATGCGGGTATTTAAAGGACAGATGAGGAGAGGGAGATATTTTGAGAAAAAAAATAATAAATGTTCAACGTAGCTCTTTCCTTGTACACATCATGGGCCCTCGCCTTAGGCGCCGACGTCCAGGGAGAAGGTCACGCTGCCCAGGTAGCGGTCAGTGGGCGAGTCGTTGATGATCCCCTTCCCGTTCAGTTTGCACTGCACCTGGATGTGAGCGTCGTACTGCACTCCTGCGAAACGAACCGCCACCACCGGCGAGGAGTAGTTCACCTGTGGGGGGGGGGTGCAGAGGAGGGCGGTGTCAGAGCAGGCGGGGGGGGCGCCTCGGGCCTCTGCCGCCCGCCGGCCAACACTCACGTGTCTGAGCTTCCCGTAGTACGGGTAGTACTTCATGTCGAAGATGCTCTTAGGGAAGAACTCCAGGTCTCCCAAGGCCTCTGCTGGTCCTTTCTGGGAGGGAAAAGGTTATTAAATGGAGCTGGTTTTCACGCCCTGCTGAGCTCTGACGGGGAATTGAATGTGTCGAAGTTTGCTGTACCTTAACTCCACAAGTCACATTTATTGGTTTGCCCTGGCCGGGTAAATAACCAAGAATCTATTAAAAAGATAAGAAGAATTTAAAAACAAAAGCAGGAAGCGGTTCAAATTTTGACACAATATCTCTGTCATAACATTAAACTCAACTATTTTAGTAAAAAAAAAATTTTTTTTAAGAATGCTTAGAATTTAAGTGCATTTGATTCTTTTTTTGCTCTTCTCCAACCACTTTGAACCATTATCTGTATTTGGAACTGAAATGGACCTGTTTTTTAACGCTAGGACAAGAAAAAAGACAACAATTTTTAACTGAAAGACTGAAAAGTCCATCACTTCATAAAGTTTCCGCTCAAAATGTTAAAGCAAGAAAATGGAGTGCCATTGGCTTCGTGCCGTCCCTACAGTGGCCACCAGATGTCGCTAGAGGGGACATGAAACCGTGCTGAGACGTGATTGATCTTTTCCTGCTGGAGTGCTGACCCTGCAGACATATCTCTTGGTCCCTGCCACTCTCCTTACCCTGTTCATTCGGAGCAAAATGCATGGCCTTCCCTGAGAATAGCCATAATGGGGATCCTTCAACCCCGAACACTCCCCCAACCAGGACCGCTTAAACTGGCAGGCCTTTCGCTCGGCGCTCTCCTCCAGGTCGTCCTGCATGAAGTAGGCGTCGTGTGTGCAGCGGATATTCTTCCTCTCCTGCACGGCGTCGCCGTACGCTGGAATTGGAGAGCGGAGGGGGAGAGAGAACGACAGAGGGGGGCATAAATAAACCTTTTGCAGCAGCAGCAGCGCTCTGCCAGACTCGGGCCTCTGGTTAAAGAAGCTTGACAAAAGCCGAGTGTGGAAAGAAGGGGGGGAGAAGAAAGAAAAAAAAAATGCACTCAATGGCAACCCCTTTGCCTACAAAGAAGCTTCCCTTCCCAGCATGCTCTGCAGGAAACGAATGGAAATGCGGGACAAAGGTGGTAGAAGATGAGGATTAACGTGTCGCACGTCTCATCGGACCCCCCCCCCCAACCCCCCCACACACCTCGGTTACGTCTGTACGAACTCACGTTTCAGATACTCCTCCATGGAGCGGGCGTACTTCCTCCAGGACTTGTGGTCGGACGCGTTGAAAGCGATCTCGTGGCCCTCTAGGTGCGGGGCCATCGTCATACCTGCCAGCAGAGAGCCACAGACAGTCAACTGTGCAGAGGCCGGGGCAGAGGAGGGAGACGGTAGCAGGGGGGGGGGGGGGAACGAGGGCTTAGGCTGAAGGGGCCGGGCTTATATTTACCTGGTGGCATCACTCTATCGTTGTAGGTGGGATGGTAGGGACTAATGGACCACATGAGGCAAAACATACAGCCGCCAAACATGGCGGCCAGAAACAAATAAAGTGCAGCATAGAAGAGCAGGATGAGGCCTGAACAGGGAGAGGAGAAACAGTTATTGGGATCCTTCTTTTGTGGAGCTCAGGCAGAACATTGGTTTATGTAACGACACATCCCAAAGTAAATTATGTAAGATCTGGATGAGGGGGAGATAATGAACCAGCCTTTTTAACGTAGCTTTGTCCGGACTCCAGCTACTGTCCTCGATCAGCACGGACACTAATTTGTTTACAAAAGCGCTGTCCCTCCTTCACTGCCCGGACCTACAAATAAACCGCATCGCAATTTGCATAAACCCAACTGTACTGGGGCTGACATGAGAGCCCCCGCCACAAAGGAAATCCCCGGATGCTGGAGTTTCTTCTGCAATTTTCAATGAAGAGTCTATCAGCAACTAATCGAGCTAAACGTGTCCCAACTGAAATGGCTTTTTGCAGTGCAGGCAATTTCACAGGGGACTAGCTGCAGCCAGCCTTGCGTCCCCTGAGCCACAAAGACCTTTCTGTTTGAGCTCAGTGAGAATTCTCCCAGCTGTCCTTTCACTCAGGAACACACTGAACCTCCGGTTGCCATCGTAGTGAAGGGTTTTTCTTTTTTTTTTTTTGCAGTCATAGAGGCCCAGCCAGCACCAAGGAGCCCCGATCACCCCACTCTGGTATTGTGTCCCCTCTTACACACTCGTCTCACAGGACACACAGCACAGACTTCATCTCAGGGGCTTTCTTGCGCCGACACATGGGCCCCACTCCTTCAGGAGCGCGCACACTGGCCGGGGCGGCTGAAATCAGCCCTAAGGACGCAGCTTCTCCACGTTTGCATGAAAACTTTCCTCAGAAATGGTCTCTACATTCAGTCAGACCACGTCTGCCACTGTGTGCAGTGGTGAGGAGGGAGGGAGGGGTGGGGGAACCGACCGAATTACACGACAACTACACTCTGGAATGGGATCTTCCATCGACCCTGACTCATCCAAAACTCCTCCATCCTGTTGCGTCTGCCAAAACAAAACAAAAAAAAAACATCAAAGCTCAATCTGGCGACGTGCGACGAAGGGGGGAAAAGCACCACGGACAAACACGTGTGCGTGTTTCCCCCGCGACCGAGCGGCCGTAAGCATGTTAGGCTCAGCGGCGAGGTCGCCGAGGCTTTGGGAAAGAGGCAGCAGAGATCATGGTAAGATTTAGAGGAATGTGATTCCTGGCCAATGTGAGGCCCCGGAACAGCGTGCTCCCGCTGGGGACACGTCCCCAGGCAGTCTGTTTTTGTCGGTACTCTCTGAATTGTCCGTGCACCTATGTAAACATTGATCATGAGGACACACACACACGCACAAGCAGCACAGTGAGCCCAGTCGCTGGTCCTGAGAGACATTTTTCACCCCCCGAAACTATCGTCGAGTACATCTTTCCGTTAACATTTTATCCCCGGGTCTGCTCTGAAAGCCCGCTCTCTCTCTAGCAAAACAGCGCATGCACAAAGACATAAACCTCTGGATCAATCCAGTCCTCCCTTCCCTCTCTCCGACAGCACAGAACCTCTCTTTCTCCGTCAACTCACTCCAGCTCTTCCCAGAGCGACCCATGAATTCGTTGGTCTCCGCATTCCACAGGTACGTCTTCACGTCATCTATTTTCTGGTGGAGCGTCCTCTTGGGAAGGGGCCTTCGCTTCCACCTCTCAAAGTTCAGGTCTTCCTGCTCTAGGGGCTGATGCTCGGCCAGCTCCTCCTGCTCTTCCTCCAGCTCCTGGCCATGCTTGAGTATCAATTTGGGAGGCTGGTGCAGAGAAGAAGAAGAAGCAGAGGAAGAAGGAGAAGAGAAAAAGCCTTCACCACACATTCTCTAAACTGCTGAGTTCTGCAGCCGACCTATTTTCTCTTCGAGTCACTGCAGGGAAAAAATGGCATGCCTCCTGATCCGAGTATGACCGATAATATGAGCTGCCAGACAGTGCTCCGCATGTTAATGGACATCACACTGACGGTCCTATCCCCTGTTTCTGCCAATTATAAACCCGCTGGTGACCTTATGGCACCCGTCGGGAGAGCTGACCTCCGCTGAGTGGACCCTCCTGCTCGGAGCAGCAGCTGCACACAGCAAAGCTGGAGGGTCAATCTGACATCCAGATGTTGCTCACTGACTCTCAGCGGTCACACACCAGCACACACAGATCACAGAGGATGTGCACCACATTTAAAAGTGCCATCAAAAAGTTCTGTTAGAGTCGTTTTTTTTGTTTTCGTGAACTGCACAGCAGATTTGATTGCAGAGTGACAAAATAGTTCTCCCAAAAATTGAGGATAATACACAGAACAGGTCCTAATTCCAACATCATTTCTATAATTTCAGCACTTACAGGACATGGTGGGTTATTTTTAAGGAGCGTCTCCTCAGCTCCTCCTTCTGTGGAACTGGGCTCCATATTCTTCATAGAAAGAAGGAGAATTTCGTCAAAGAAACTGACAACATCTCCTGCACTAAAATAGATTAAGTCGACACCCTTTTCTCTGGATGCCTATAGGCTAACTTAAATAATGCCTGCATTTGTCACGAATATTTCGAAGAAAAGTCAGACGTACCTGGAGTCTTCCTCTCAATAAACACGCTGATTAATATGTTGGAAACACTCTTGACCCTTACAGAGTAAGAATATTTGTCAAAAAGTAAGTGGGGATTTCATTAAAAAGTTTTAGGCACGCAGGGGGGACCGGGTGTGGAGAGAGGCTCCTTCAACTAGGCGCGCATCATAGTGAATGAAAGCCCGAGAGAGAGAAACTGGGGGTGATGGTGGAGAGGTTTTTTTTTTTTTTTTTTTAGTGGTTTTGGCAGCAGCCTGGAGCAGGCACTGCATTCTGAACACGCACATCATCAGTCATTGTCTGCAAAGCTGACTGAAAGACTCAAATAAAGCCTGAATGCAATATTTATAGCTTGTCCCGACACAATATGGAGTCATTCACGCACCACATACAAATACCACCAGGCGATTGACCCAATACGTTTATCTTATTGGTTTTATTTGGAATCTTCTTTTCGTCGGTCACAGTTTAAATCACTTATCGGGTGTTGTCCCCCCCAGATGTATCCGCACTGACCCAGAAGCTGACGCATCTGCCTTGAGTCTAATAGGATCTGGTTTCCCCCCCCCAAAAAAAACCTCTCCTCTGGTTCAAGGAGTCCTCATCCCAGATCCAATCTGCACTCCGGTCACGTAACGCTCCGTTACCCCCTGTAAAAGTGGGAGAAGGGGGACTTTTTTTTTCTACTTTAACATGAAAAGAGCTATTGCGTCACGGAAAAAGATCAGTCCTTTGAGATCTACGCGGCAAAAACGTGCACTTCTGCAAATTTGGGTGGATTTTGCGTTGAAAAAAAAGACTATTTAAGATCATTTGTATCAACACATGGGTGATACAAAGTATTAAGTGGCGAATTGCTTGTCTTTGTCTCACAGTGTCCATAAGTATTTCCAAGGCGTCTTTTCAGCCCTTCAAATCAGCATTTTAGTCACCACAGACTGCATGTGTAGAGGCCAAGTGCATCCCATTCACTTTGAATCTGGTTTGAACCCTTTTTTCCCAGTTTTTCAATATGTCATATGTGATGCAAAACGATTCTGTTTTTTTTTGTTAACAGAAAAAAAACTATTCATATGCTCCTTAACCTAGCAGCTTATCATTTAAAGGTTCAGTTTCATCGTAAATGTTTTACATTAAATAGCTGAACTGCAATATTCAGGTTTTCTGAGGAGCTGGTGTGTGTTAATACAGATTACTATGTGGCTCTAAGACAACTTTTGAACGTTAGTTCATTAAGCAGTGACATCTATTGTTTTTGAAAAATGTTCCTATTCGAGGAGTAAATCGATTTTCTTTGTGTAGATTTCACGCTGATTTAAATGCATAATGTAAGAATTTAAACCAGACAGAAACTTGTGATTTACATTACTAAAACATTAAATGAATAAGCTACGAGTATCCAATATGTTTTATCTGTCAATCACTCAAACAACAGATATGGGGTCAGGAGTCCCAATTATATAGCCACTTTTTCGTTGTCACTTGCATCTCAGTTATTAATCGGACTACATTTTTCATACGTTATTATTGATATAGAAAAAACCTAACTAACGTGTTTCGTCACAAAAAGGCACAAAAAAGACACCAAAAAGACACTGAATGTCATAGCATCAATTAATTACTTAAGCACGTCTAACAAAATTAACTTTTTCCCAAACAGTTTGTATGTACCATGTTTCATTAGATACGTTAATGCAGCATCAGGGTATTTTGTTGTCCACAGCAACCCCTGAACGCATCGTCGAAGGAGTGACGGTTGATGGCGCTAGAAGCTCGACTTGAGCCCCCCCCCCAGCCACGGACCCCCAACTTTCTCAGAAATGACGTCCAGTGACTTCAAATCTATCAAAACCACCTTAACATCGATATGTAAAATTAAATTTAAACGGTAGACCTCTAAAAAGTAAACGTTTTTTCTCTCGCCTTTAGTGCTAAGCTCTAATGTAAGCTAGCGAGCCGTCAAAGAGTAAAATGGTGCTAATTGTGTTTTTCCAATACTGAGATTCTGCAACAATAATAATAGTGTTATTAATTCCAACTTGAAACAATTTATACTTTGAATTTATACTGTTTATACTGTTTGAATCTAAAAGATAAAGATAGTTATTTTTAATATTTAGCGAAGTTATTACTCGGTAGAAATGACGGCTGAGGAGGTATATGCGGAGAAATACCTGCTAGTGACGGATAAGTGTACGAAATGTATTTGTAACGTTCAGGGGCGTACGGTGTCGTGGTGCCTTTACACCGCTCCAAATCGAGCACAAGTACTGGTTGTCCGAGTCCTCTCGGAGTATGTGTGTGTGACATGCGCACATGCAACCACCACCACCACCACCTCCACCACCACCAGCAGCAGCAGCAGCGACCTGCCGTCCCGGGGACGCAGACCGACAGACGGCCCGGCCGCGGAGGCGATGTGAACGCCACGGAGCGGTGCTGCGAGCCGGAGAATGCCACAGCAAGTGAACGCACCCTCGGCGTTGGATCACGACTGTCCCCCGTTAGCTCTCCGATTCATATCGCTCATTGACACTGTGTCGTGATTGTTGATCCCCCCTCCCCACCCACCCCCCTCTTTCTTATTTGCAAGAGGATCGGAGAGGAATACATCGTCCAGTCGGGATGCCTCCCCCTCCTCACAGCCTCCAGTCCAGCGGGCTGACCCTCTCTGAAACAAGCATGGGTAGGTGTGTGCAAGGTCACCAGCGTGTGTGTGCTGCAGTTTTATTTGTATTTGTATTTTTTAATCAATGAGTTAAAACGCTAATTGGGCCATTTTACAATGTGAGGATGTGGTCCATTGTTTCTCGGTTTGTTTGTAAACACCTATGTGGGTAATGGGGACCATCCCCAGCTGTAATGCAACACACCGGAGGGTGTCCCCTCTTACGGAATGGGACTGAAACACTCGTTGCATCACCTCGCGGGCATGTTTTTTTTTTGTTCTGGTCCAGGCCGCAGCGCGTCACTGCAGGTGCGGCGGTGCTCAGCAGCCCCGGCAGCCTCCCGGTTTGGCTCCCACGTCTGCTGCCGCACAGGGTTTTTTTTTTTTTTGGAAAGATGCTTGGCAGCAACCTTGAAAACGGAATCAATGAAACGATCCAGTAATGCACGGGAAGGACAACGGCTGGGTTTAGTTTGGTCTCCAGCAGTTAGAGCATTGCTGACAGAAACCTTTTAAATTGTACAGTTTAGATAAGATGTTATTTAACATTGGAATGTGTGGTGAGGTAACAAGATGGAGAAACGGAGGCATTCATCTCTAATTCAAGGATGCAAAAACAACCACTTCTACTGTTGCATAAGCACTAAAGAAAGTAGTTATGGGGCCCATTGAGTGCATGTCGTTTGTCTTCAGATTTATCTGCCTTCAGATGTGTAGACAACGAAGGGGAGAGTTGGCTTAATCTGTGAGAGCATAAGGACAGAGTAAACCCTCACAGGAAGAAAGATGCAGGCCGAAGGAAATGATCGGGATGGTTTGTAGTCATTCAGGTCTCCTCTGGTCTTATTCACCACCAGGACTGTTTCATTCACCCATTTAAACACACTCATACAGCTCTTCTTAACTCTATAAAGTTCTGCTGGTTTACTTTATTTTATGCTTTCAAAGTCTGATGCAGTGTTTGGAGTTATTTTGTGACTGTTATATAGGATTAGCATTTTGTACAGTATGTCAAGAAGCCATTCTTTAGGAAGGGAAACGGGAAGAAAAGGCTGAGGAATGCAAAATACACAGTGGCAGCATGATGGAGGGATTAATCCTCCCCAGACAGAGAACGGAGCAAAAGGGGGCCAACGTCCGAAGATGAGCTTTGGGATGTCCTTCAACCTGCCTGGAGAGTTTTACATGAACACTTCTTTCAAGACTTGTTTAGTTATTGTGACTACACTGATTCCAAGCAGGTGCCACAAAAAGAACAGCTGTGTATCCTTAAGTTTGGCTTCTTTTGACCAAAATCATTAGATTAAACCGTTTTAACAATTAGTACCAAAGTCATTTGTTCATCGTTTTTAGAGAAACTTTGAACTTTCCTTTTCTATCACATTTTAGACTTTATTATCATTGTTATTATTTAATTTTTATAATCATTAAATACCAAAAGTACATAAAAAGAAACAAATAAACCAGCAATTAAAACCCATTCAACCCTTGAAAAGTTGTTTTTCTTTAAGACTTCTTACAAATATGTTGAAACAATTCATTAAAACAGCCGCATATTTCAATCTTCCTCCAAGACACCTCAAAAGTTTGCCCGCTGGTGGTCAGAGGGACGGGGCCACAGCAATGACGCCGTCATTCACTTATTCTCTTTCACTCTTTTAGGCTCCTTCAAGAGGAGGAAGAGGAAATCCATCATCATGACGGGGATGCTGCTCGTCGTATCGGTGCTCATCCTCATCTTCGGCCTGGCAGCCACCACCAGGACGCAGAACATCACTGTGGGAGGCTACTACCCCGGACTCATCGTGAGTGCTCATTCAGACGCCCGTTTGCTGCCAGGGTTCAGAATGAGTCAGGGAAGTGAGAGTGCTTCCACTCCTAGACTCCAGTCCACCCCGTGGCCGAAGCCCCCCGAGCAGCGTTATTTTCCCCGCATTCATTATTCAGCATCGCTGTCATTAGATGTTGAGTGAGGTGAAGATTCTCAGTCGGCTAATTTGTTTTCTTCACGGCGCTCAGCTTTTTAGCGTTACCTAAAGAGCCGCCTGCCTCTCTGTTGCATCAGGTCCCCTCACGTGCACAGTTCAGACAGTTAAACGTGGACCCGTCTCACCGAGACGGAACAATTAAGCATGACGTGACATGAATGGCTTCAGTTACCACTTAGAAAACATTAGTATGAACAGCCACTTACTACAGCTTCCTCGGATCCTGACAACCTTATAGTTGTATCAGATAGGCGCCCTAACAGCTCATTTCTCTGTTTTCAGCTGGGCTTCGGCTCGTTTCTGGGAATTATTGGCGCTCATTTGATAGAGAACAAGAGGCAGATGGTAAGAGGATTTATATTACTTTTGTGCATTGAGATCCCTCACAGTGCGTGGTGTCCCACTGTCCCTACAGTCACAGCTCGCTGTTATTAAAGTATCGGCCTGCTTTTCATTCAAACATGATTAGGCCCTAAATGTAGCAGCGAGCGGCGGCTCCAACCCGGGCCGTGAGTCCCAGTCAGCCCGGGGATGTTTGTGTTGTGTACTGGAGCATGGATCCCGGACATTGAAGGGGGAGGGGCCGGGGTGGGGTGCCACCAGAAATAGAAACAGGGTGTAAGTGGAGCAGGACAGATGTCTGCGCCAGAATGTGGTGGCAGGAAGCTGCGGCTGATTGGAGCAGGTGGGGAGTGCCGAGGTGGGCCTGTCAGAGCTGACATGAAGGATGTGCTCGTGTCACGACGCCTTTTTTCCCATCGTGGAGCCGGAATTCCAGCCGGTTATACGGCAGACCGAGCCCCGGCATGCCACATCTCACATATGTACAATGTTTTTACGAGCTCCATAAAATGTGATGACGTTATTTACAGTTTGACTTTTCACATATTCACCTTCCAAACAGGCAAAAGTCACATATTAAAACTCAATCACATGAATGTTTCAGGATTATTTAGTTTTAGAAATCTGTCTTTGATCCATGACAGGAGACAGATCAAACATTCAAAGTCAGAAAACTTTGTGCAGATGAAGTCGGTTGTGACATGGCACATAGAAATGATACGCTTATTTCTATCAAACAAACATATTTACAAGCTTTCACTTTTCAGTCCTTCAGCTGCATCACAATTGGCTTAAGGAGCAATTACGAGATGCAGGGATTGTTTTCCTCTCATCCTTTGAGAAAGTTTGATCTTATTATCAAGAGAGAACTTAACATTTTATCCTCAGAAAATTAGGATGTGAAAGAACTGTTTTATTCTCCAGAGCATGGGGAAAAAAACATCAACATGCCCCAAAAAAACCTGAAAAAAACAGGAAAACACGTCCAAATGATCAAGTGTGAGAGTTGAACATTCGGTTCTACTAAAGTTCTGTTTTCCCTTTTCTAAGGCATTTTTTGCATTATGTGATAAAGGTTTAGATTTGTAAGAGGGATCAAACCAATGGAGAGATCAGCTATGGAGCAGTATTCACTGGGTCAGTGTTGCCGTCCTGCAAAGCGAGGCGGCCGCAGACAGCACGGCTCGTAACTGAAGACTTGTCGGGTTTCACTGACGAGTGACAGGAGGAGAGTTGCATGAGTGAGTGGTGGTAGTTTAAGGGGGACTGTGCACACAAGACTTGGTTACCACGCTGGCAGTGGGCAAACCTCCAACCCCTCTGTGTGTGTCTCTATGCACTATTGCTTCATGTCTCATTTAAAGCCTCTCAGGGCCTCAAGTGTAAACAATATAAATAATTATTTTGGGTAATGCTCCTGCTTTCTTCCAGTTAGTGGCATCTATCGTGTTCATCAGCTTCGGAGTGGTGGCTGCCTTCTGCTGTGCTATTGTTGACGGGGTCTTTGCGGCGAGGCACATCGTAAGTATTTCTGAAGCTTTTACGGTTCATTTCGGAGAATCCAGCTCATAAAGACGTCATCTCAGTGCCCACCCCAGGGAGCTGTAAAGCTCTGTGTCTGCCTGCACGTGGCCGGAATACATTCAGATGGTAAAGAAAGTGTTCCCATTTAAAAAAAAATTACCTGGAATACATGTAGTGGTTCATTTGAAACTGGATTTTCAGTTCCCCGTAAAACCTTGCAGTTGAAAAAGAGTGTGTGTTTTGGCCGAAGCGGCTGCCGCGCCCTTCTCAGTGCAATAAACAGAGGAAAATATCTCTCTGTGATGCCAGGCAGAAACACAGTAAACAACTGCTAATGCACTGTAAAAACAATTATTCTGAAATAGGTTATGGTTGAGTGAAAAGGGAGATCACCATTAGTTGGTTTTTATTAGCCTGTGTTGCCAGTAAAATGGGAAATGGAAATTTTACCTTTTTTTCAAACAGTATTGGCACACTAACCATCGAAGCAACGTCCTGTTGAATGAGAGGAAGCCTGAAACCTAACCCCGTCCTACCCCTTCTGACACGTGCTGCTTCCAGATGAACTTTAGGAAAAACTCATCTTTTGATGGAACCCTAAAATGCCAGCTGATGTTTTTTCTGGGTTCAGGTGTTCTGAAACTTTCCTGCTGTTTCTCTCTATTTTCAGCTGAAACATTTTGGGAACTTTTTATGACCTGACATGTGCTGATGATAAATGCTTAGAAAGTTTGTAGGTTAGGTTTACGATGTTAAACAAAAACTCAGATCCAACACAATATGGAGTTGTTGTTTAGTTTTTTTTTACATGAAAAGAATGTTAGAGTCAGTGATTAATATATATATATATATATATATATATAGTTATAACTGATTTTCCCCTTGTTTGTAAAGACGCAATTGTTTCTATATTCTTTTTGCGTCACTTCTGGTGAAGTGTGTGTGTAGAGAGGCTTTTGGTGATGTGGTCCCTCCCCTTGCAGGACCTCAGGCCTCTGTATGCTGGCCGCTGTCAGTATCTCTCCAGTGAAACTGCATCCGAGCAGGACGTAAGGAACACCAAACCGCCACTCTCTTTTCACACTTTGATGCTGGATTTGGCCTCTGTGCCGTCTCTGGGGGGGATTTGGGGGGTTGGGGGGGGTTACCGGTGTGTGGGGAAGGCAAAGGGAAGAGGCCTGAAACGCGTTGTGACCCTCAGGTGCCGTGTCAGACGTCGCGCACGTCCTGCAACCTGCACGTGAAGAGCAACACCTGCTACTGCTGCGAGCTCTACAACTGCGGGAAGTGAGTAGGCCGAGCCCCCCCGGGCAGCGACCAGGCCCCCCAGTGCTGCTCTGACTGTTTTGAACTTTTCTACATGTATCTTTGTGCCATTTCAGTGGGCGATTAATTTGCATTGCCGCTTTGATTGTATTAGAACAAGAATGTTTCTTTTCTTTTTGACCTTTGTTTCAGAGAACATCCTCTTATGGGACTTCAGAATAAAGATGTTTTGAAAAAGTTTAGGAAATCATCCATGATTTGGAAGTAGGTCCCTCTTTTTAGACCGATAATGGCCATTATTGATCAGTCCATTGTTTTCTTTCATCTAGCTGTAGATTTTTGAATGAAAACCATTCTAGAAACTGTTTGTGTTGTAGACTCCTCTGCATGTCAGCATCCATCCATGTCCTCATCTCAGTTTTCCTGCTCTCTTCAGAGGCTCAGTAAAACTTTTTTAGACAGTTCTACCATAAATCAAATACCGTAATGCATCTCTCTCATTGGCTTCCTGTTGATGTTGGTGAAGAGGTGAAGCTGCCTCCCGCTGTCAGTGACTTTTGTGGCTTGACTGTAGGCTGTCTCCCTCTCTGTTCCCCCCACTGGCCTAGCCGTGCTGAGGTCATGGGGGGCTACCACGAGTACACGGAGGTGAAGAGCTGCCAGGACGTGGTGTACCTCTACCACCTCTTATGGTCCGCCACCATCCTCAACATCGTGGCGCTCTTCCTGGGCATCATAACAGCTGCCGTCCTGGGAGGATTCAAAGATCTGGTGTGTCCACAAATGCTGGTTTTACGCGATTTACAGTGATAAATCTGACCATCGATGGCGCATTCGTCCCTTTGCTGTGTCGAGCAGTTCTCTGGGCTTTCTGTTTTATTAACTTTTCACTCGTTTTCCATCCAGTTCATCCACCTGACATCAGAGTAATACTGCGGTAACTCACTTAACAGTGACTTCTGGTTTAATCAAGCCCCAAAAAAGGAGCTAACTGAAGTGTTATGTTGACACATGATGAAGAATTTGACAAAGAAACTGCTGAATTGTATCTTTAGGCACTTTGCTTCTGCCAGCCTGCCGCAGAGGTTTGTCAGTTTGTTCCCATTTAAACTAAATCTTAGTAGAAAGGAAAATATAAAGATATAACACAGATTGACAGACTGAAAATACTACTATTGTGTCACCAACGAGACTTAATAATCTGTGTTTGCACCGAATGTCGACTTTACAGCTCGCTTTTTTTTTTCTATCCACAGAAATGAGAGGCGGTTAAAGGTTGCTAAGACTAACAGGTTCTCCCTCCTCCTCAGACACCTTCTGCAGCCTCGGAGACTTCCTCTGAACCAGAAGCCATCGCTGCTCCAGTCCGACCGGAGCCCCCCCGGCCCCCCACCTCCAACCCGTACCGCAGCGCTGGGCCGTGCCTGCCGCCCTACACCGCCTACGACATGCAGGTAACGGGGCCGCCAACGCCGCCACCCTAACCCTACCGCTCTCATTTCAGCGGGCCGTCAGCTCTACTGCATCCCACCATCTCCAGTGGGGAGGATTACTGAAGTATTGCATAAGTGACTCAGACTGTTGTAAATCATGCATTTGCCGACGACTATTTTAGGCAGCAGACTTCTGTCAGTCAGTCAGTACATTAGCCACCTCTTGAACGTGTTATTAGAAACAGCAGGGTCTTTCTTTTCATGGGATTGGTTTGAAGAAAAAAAAAATATATATATATATATATTTATATATTTATATACAGCAGAACCTCTACTTACGATTGCATAAACATACGAATTTTCCAACATCCGAATTGAAATTTGATTAATTATTCGACTCGACACCCAAAGTAAATTTCCAACATCCAACGAATGATGTGGAAGTCGCAGAAAAAAAAAAAACATATAAAAAATGGATAAAAATAAATAAGCTAAGTTAGTTTTAAGTTCACGTGGTGAAAGTTAGAGTAAGTTACGGTAGGTCCTATATCTCAGTCTCCACCTCTACCTCCGTTCGCCAAAAAGTGCCAATAAAATCCCTTTTTATTTATTATTTCTTTATCATTTGTTTCTTTTTAGATCTCTCTTATATAATGCATTTGTCTTACTGGTATGTGTAATTATCTGCAGTATTCATTAAAGAGTTATTGTAGGTTTTTGGGCTGTGGAACGCATTATGCGAATTACAGTGTAGATATGGGAATATTTTACCCAACATATGAATATTTTACCATACGAAATAGGTCCCGGAACGAATTAAATTTGTGTGTAACGTTGGCAGTTGACATCCAGTTGCAGTGAGCAGTAAAACTGTCCCGCTGACTAAGGTTTTGCTGTTTCCAGCAGGGCTCATACATGTTCCCCGACTCCTCCGGCCTGTCGGACGACTCCCAGTCTGGAACCAGCCACCTCTGGCCCACCATGATTCCTCCTCGCTACTCCCCTCCTCACGACCACCCGGACGAGAAGCCCCCACCGTACAGCCCGTAAAGGAGGGAGCGCCTGTGGTGTTGGCGGGGGCTGTTGCAGAGCCGGGCGTCTGCTCGGTTCCTCTGGGCTTTTCCTCACATTTTCCAGGAGTGCGTCGGAGGAAAAGGAGGCGAGGAAGACGAGGATGCCCACAGAGGACTCTAAACTCAGCCCCGCTGACAGGAGCAGGTGTTGCCCGGGTATCACTCGCACTCTGGTCTGCAACGTGCGTCTGTGTGTGTCTGTGTGCGTGTGTTTGCACATACACATCAAGAGGCAACCGGCTCATGGTCAGGACTGTTTACACATCTATCTGCCTTAATGAAAAACGGACTTCCGACACTGCTCATTTGGACCGATCCTGTACAGAAACCCTCCTCCGGCTTTCATTCTCGTCTCTTTGGCTAAAACTGAAGGTCTATCTGTCTCAAAGAACAGAGGCTACCGCCGCTGCGAGGCTGCGGACGGACTGGGAGACCACTCCCGTGTGACCCTACGGACGAGTTAACCGAAAGCCGCGGCGTCTTCCCCCGCGTAGAAAATGGCTAGGAAATTCAAAACTGTAGAGCTGTAGCCCAAGAAGTCATTTCAGTAGCGCCGCTGAACCAATAAAGCCAGCGTTAGCAGGTATTACATGCTGGGAGTGAATGTACAGCAGTATGACATACAGTTAGCACAGCTAGGCCTAAGATATACAAACTGATCACGATATGTATCGTCTCCTCGGTGTGCGACGAGCAGAGCAGCGCCAATAATAATCTGCTGTACCCGATTGTTGTTGGAGCTGTTAGCAGTGACACTGAACCCTATTTATTGTGTTTCCTCGGAAAGCTGCACAGCAGGCATGCGTAGGTATGTGTCTCTCGCGTTGTAAGTAGTAGTGTCACCTAAAAAGAAGTTTTGCGGACTGAAGTTTAAGAAGTCTTCTCTGAAGAGGAAGAGTTGAGGAAAAACTCTCACACTGTGTGAATGTCCATGAAAAAACAGCTCATGTCGGCTTTAATCACTGCTTTTTATCATTTATAAATCACCTTCTCAGGAGCGGATGAATGTTCAGCTCCTTCTGTGTCTTGCCATTAAAACTTGTTCTGTGTAATTCCAACAGCGTCTCGTTTCTCAAAGCCTCCAGCAGACCCGGGAGGAGTGAAAGAGTCCCCGCTTCCAGAAGGTGGAGCCCTCTGATTTAGATCAGATTTTGGGGGGATATTTTGGACTCTGGGGAAGGAGGAGTAGCGTGGGCCGGAAAGCCAGTCAGTATGAAGCCTGCAGGACAAAGGTGACACGATAAAGCACAGACCTGAAGAGCACATACAGAACATCACACAGTTTTTCGCCCGTTTATTGAAAAATAAAAACCTGATCTATTAAAATGGATACAGACTGAATTCCCATGTTAGCTCTATTCTAATCGATCTAACGTCTGACACAATGTGGAAAAATGTTCCCAGAAATCTGCTTGGTCTGTTCACACTAATCCCCTCAGACATTAGTTGTCTTACCGTTACATTTGTCTGCGGGATTCATGTTTCCAAACGTGTGGCTGTATGGCCAAATTCAAAAACAAACAAACAAACAAAGACTCTGAATTAGTCAATATTTAAACGCCACATGGCCCAGATGTGGAAACAAACACAGGGTGATAAAAAAAACTGGTTTTACAGCATGATCCAACAGAATTAAGACAAAATCGAACATGAATGACCAGCTCAGACAGAAAACCTCCAGAACCGATCCGGGATAGTGATCATGATGGACTTTTTTCATTAAAAACCGTGATTTCAAACATAGTTGAAACCTTAAAAAAGAAGCAAAATATTCTGCCCCGGCGGAAAGAGAGACACGCTCTTAAATAGGTAACCCAGTTCTCATCTCGGAAAACGGGCCTCGGCCGGCTCCTGCCAATGTCTCACACTGTGGCCTATAAGTTAAAAACAGCTTTATCTGTTTGCTTTTCATCACAGACAGTCATTTCTTTCTTAAGCAGAAAGAACATTTCCAGGGTTGTTTTGATTCACCCATGAAAGTTTTATCACCGACTTCCACTCTGATGACTCTCCAGAGTTTGATCCACTGAATCTGTGCATAATTTAACAATTCTTTTTATGTTGAGCAACCAAAGTTAAAAATAATCCATTACTCATGTATGATTTAAAGATTTTGGATTGTATATATTAAACCCCTGTGGTTTTATTATTCTTTCATAATGTATTGCAAAGGTTTTGTGGATGCAGACAAGCCAAGGTACGGCCGCATTACACCTCCAGCCAGCTAATTTCCTCTTTGTTCCTTTTGCCTTAAACTCTGATCACTTTTCACTGCACAGATCTGACACCACTAAGCTGCTATTGACACCAAGAACCACCAGTCTGTCTGAACTGAGAGGGAAATGCATCCGCACCCGAAGCTGAACCCATAGAGAGCAACACAGAGGTGACGGGAGACTTAAAGCTGGGAGGAAAAGATGAAAGGAGCACCTAAAGGCACAGATGCCGGGGGCACAGGCTTCTGCTTTAGTAGCGTTCTGGTGTAACAAACTCAAACTCCGAGGGTCCCGGCGGCGTGGCGTTAATGGCCGCCGCCCCCCCCGCCGCCGGCTGCTTGTGGCTGCTCGGCGGCAGCCGGGCGTCGGGCTCCACGAATATGTCGTCCCAGTTCAACATCCTGCTCTGCACGGAGGGGTGAACGGAGTCCCTGTGCCGCCCGCCCCCGCCGCCGTCCGACCCCAGCGGGTCCCCCGGCCCGTCGGTCACCCACGAGTAGGACTTCATGGGCACCGTCCGGCACGGCAGCAGGCGGTACAGGTTGTTGGCGCCGTCGTCCTTCTCCTTCTTGCCGCTGGGGTCCTGGTTGTGGACTTGTTTGCAGTGGGTGGAGAGCAGCTGGTAGTTTATGAACATCTCGTTGCACAGCAGGCACTGGTAGCGCCGCTCGCCGGTGTGGTGGATCTCGTGCTTAGTTCGGTATTCGGCGAGGGCGAAAACCTTGTCGCAGTGGCGACACGGGTACTTCTTCTCCCACGAGTGGGTGTTGAAGTGGCGGCGGAGACTCGGGAGACACACGTAGGGCCGCTTACATACGACACACACGTAGAAAGTCTTCCCGTCCATGATGAGCTCGTAGTGGTCCTCCAGCTCCGTTTTGGTCCTCTTCTTCTGTGGTCCGGCCTTTGGGGACAAAGGGGCCTTATCAACGGGTTTCAGAGGAGTTGCCATTAAAGATCTCTTTCCTTTATTTGCTTTGGAGCCTCCTTCACCAGGATCCTCCTTAAGAGGGACAATGTCATACGTGTCCTCCCCGATATTGGCATACACCTTACAGCCGGATGAAATGGAGTCTATTTCTGTGGCCGTGTCGAGCGTCACCGTCTTTTTCGCCACCACTGCCGGTTCGGGAACGCCGGCCTGAAAAGCGGACACGTCCGAAACGTCCGAGAGCCGGATTCTGAAGTCTCCCTGCTGAGACGAGGCGGACACCTGCTTCTTGTGGACCCCCCCTCCGTTGACGCCGCCGGAGGACGGGGGGGCGCCGGGCTGCTCCGGGGGGAAGCTGCTCGGTCTGACCGGTGTTGCCGGAGCACTTCCTGAGAAAACTCTGCCGGGGAAAGCCGGGTTGTGGTCGCGGCTGTCCGGCCCGTGAAGGGGGCTGCTGACCGGCACGCTGGGGCTCGCGCCGCCGCCCCCCGGAGGCTTGGCCGCGCACGTTCCTGGAGGCGAAGTGGCGGCGTTCTCCTGCGTGGCAACGGCGGGATTAGTTTCAGAAGGTTCTTTTGCCGCGCCGCTCTCCGAGTCGGCTTTTTCCAGATCGATGATTTCCCCAGAGATGGCTTTTGGAAGTGAGGTGTCTGTGCTCGAGACAAAAACCACGTCGCTGTCCGAGTCCTCCTCGTTCCCCGCAGGTTTGCTTGCCTGATTGAACTCCTCTGCGGATATTGAGAAAGACTCTGTGATGATCGGCATAATCTCCGTGGATGTGTCATTTTTGTTTTCGGGATCCTTTGACAAACCAGGCAGGCCTTTAACGTGCGACAGCGGCGAGCCCAAGTTTGCAATGAATTTGACTCCCAGCACCTTGCCAGCAGCTATGAGCTCCTCCAGCATGTCGGAGCGGACTCGGAAAATCCTGGAGCTGTAAATATAGTTGAGGATCTGCTCAAAGATTTCTGGTCGGATGAAGTTCAACTCGACCACCTGCACAGCGACGCTAAAGAGCTGGTTAAAATATGAACTGGACGCAGACAGGATCGTCCTGTGAGCTCGGAATTTCTTGTCTTGTACGACGATGGTGACATCACAAAACAATCCATTATTTCGCTGCTCATTCAGTGACTTGAGGACCGCTGTTGAATATTGTGTGTCGGTTGCAGATATCAGCTTTAGACTTGGCATGTCTATAGAGAGAAGGGGGGGAAGAAATCAAGGACATCATTAAAATGCACAAAACACCACTCTATCACCATCACTCACATGAGCATCTTCCTTCATTAAAAAATACATCTACATTCATTTAGGCTTTAGCTTCAGGTGCAGTTCAATCTGATGGGATTGAATAGAACTGTTTTTCAACAAAATTGCTTCTCATGCTAAAATAGCAAGATGCAGTACCATTGATAATACTACATAATTAATATAAACATAATAGCGTTGTTGCAGGTTATATCACTATAATACCCCCTACAACAACGTTATTGCATGTATACATATACACATGGGTGTGTAAATAGATAGATAAATAGATAGATAGATAGATAGATAGATAGATAGACAGATAGATAGATAGATAGATAGATACTAAAGGGTTAAAATGTGATTCTCGGTCAGACAATACAAATGATAACCTGTCATCAGCTAAAAAAAAACACGTTCATTTGTTGGCTTAAATTATGCAGTCTCATGATTACAAAAGGGTTGGAATAAGTTTATTGATAATTAACGAGCTGTTCATCAAATGTTATCACTGCCCAATAGCATATACAAAAAAAATAGTCAGCCTCTGTTGTTAGCCTGCTAACAAAGCTAACGCTGTTTCCTCGTTGATGAACAGGAAGAGAGGCCTACTGTTTGGCATCTTATTAGCATGCTAGCATAAAATATACATGGCTTAAGTTGACTAAAGCCTCTCTCACATGTTGTTTAACGGAAGCATGCAAATCTAACAATGTTTACCTGCAACCTTTGTGGTTAAGCCAAGACTAAGTCTGACCGCTGCCACCTAGCGAGTTAATGAACTTGGCAGGATTTCAGTTGACAGACCGGAAGTGGCTGCTATCAGCTGCATCACCGGAAGTAGTTGGTCGGCCTTGTAAAGGTAAATCCGTATCCAGTGCGCTAATAAAGGAAGGTACGTCTGCTGAAACATTGAACACATATATTGTTTATTTGTTATCACTACACAAATGTATACATTTCTGAAGAAATCCCTACACGCAACAGCCCTTTCAGATTGGCTGTCAATATTTAGGTTAACGGAAAATTTGATCAACTGGCAATATAAATACATTTTATCCTAATAACAAAGTAACACATACAAAAAATATTGTCTTTACTTTTTTGTTTAATAAAACAGATTAGACACTATGTGCGGGTGAGGCATCCGGTCAACGACAATCACATTTAATGCCAGCAATACTATTTCAGTTCAAAGAACGATTTTAAAATGCAAGGAGGAACAAGTATGTTCTAAAAAATCCAATTCTTTTTTTAATCATGTTTTGTATTTGGGTTGTATTTTGACAAATCGATCATCAGCAACAGCGGAACTATATGAAGTTGACGAGAAGTATAGGACTTGGTCTGGGGACGGACCCATACGTGCTTCCTGTTATTTCTTGCGTAGTAGAAAAAACGGCATCGTCCGGAGCTCGGTTGTGGTCTTATTTGTCCTTTTGTCTTTGTGCTTTAAGTCCATATTTCTTGTATTTGTACTTTAAGTCCATCTTTCTGGGTGCATAGCGGTCAGGGGGCATGCCTCTATCGGACCGCTCGAGCTCCGACGGCAGCAGAGGACCCCGGAGTCCTCGCGCCCGTAGACCCCGTACTCGGTCCCGCAGCCGTACCCGCAACCACAGCGGAGATCGGAGCCTGTCTCCGGACAGCTTTGGGCCCCAACTTCCGAAACTGCGCAACCGAGAGAGGGAACGCGAAGAACGGGAGCGTCGGTTCAAAGAGGCGAGAAACATCCGGCGGATCCGCATTGGAAGTCCTGGCCGTAGCCGCTCCAGATCCAGGTCCCGGTCCAGAGAGCGTCACAACAACGCCAGCAACAACAATCACAATCACAACCACTGGCACGAGCAGCGGAACGCTCCGGGAAAACACGGGAGCTTCAAAGATGACTATTATTACGAGCAGCAGAGGGACGACGTCCAGAGGCAGAGACAGGAGGCCTTTATCGCCAGGTATGGAACTCCAGTCCACTGGATCATCCCAGCACTCATTCATTTGAATGGGAAACATCATACTCTCCATCGTAGGCAATTAAGATATTGGCCAAATCTTTTCAAAATAAGTGGTCAGTAGCTTTGGCTAAAATACAAAAGCTGGAAAATGTATATACAAATGTCTGCCTTGGCTGGCATTTTAAACTGAATCAATGTCTAATACAGCCACGGGAGGTTTTCTTCTTCGTGGTCTCACGGAACAATCGGCTGATATCAGTCGTCCATTTTGTTCTGCTGCTCATCTAAGTGCTGTTTATTGGTGGTAATGCCAGGAGAACCTATTACATGATCATAACACAGTACTGCTCTTCCAGGCGCCTGCAGGAGCGGGAGAGGATCGGTGAGATGGGCTGCCCAGAAGTTTGGGGATATTCGCCACGAGTGAAAGAACCAGAGTAAGTTGAGAATTATTAGAATCAAACGCTATTTATTTGTTACTGTTTGTTTTTTTTTGTGGTCATTCTGCAATGTTCTCACTATCTTAATTATGTGGCTCGTCACATCCAGCTCCGATGAGTTCACGCCAGTGGAAGAAGACGAGAAAAACAGCAGCTCAGAGTCGAGCTCAGAGGGTAAGCCGTGTTTTAGCAGAGGTAAATCCCAGAGAGACGGTGGAACCGGCCCTGAATCCACAACCAATGCTTTCTTTCATTGACAGAGGAGAAGAAGAAGAAAAAAAAGAAGAAAAAGAAGTCCAAGAAAAGGAAGAACAAGAAGCACTCTGAGGATAGTGAGCTGGAGTCGGATTCTGATGGTAACACTGTCACAAATACTCACATTTATTTGAGAAATGTGAAAAACAAAAGAAGAAGCCCTGTTTTAATTCTGTTTTTCGACCATTGTGTTCTATGGAACAGAGGAGGAAATTAAGAAGAAGAAAAAGAAGAAGAAGAGCAAAAAGTAGGTCCTGATCTTCAGCTGCCCATCACACACGCTTTAAGACGTTTTTTTTTTTTTATAAACTGCGTTTCTCATCTCGATGACAGGTCAAAGAAATCCAAGAAAAAGAAGGCAAAGAAGAGCCGGAAAGAGTCCAGCGACTCCAGCAGTGAGGAGTCAGAAGAGGAGGAGGAGGACCCCAACGGGGTCATGTGGGTGGAGAAGACCTGCATTGACGAACACATCGTGGGCCCGGAAGCTCCCCTCACCCATCTGTCGCAGGACGACCGGCCGCTGGAGTGAGTCCCCGAGTTTGTGCGTTCGATGTGACATAACTGATGAACTTCGACTTGTTAGCAGATACAACAGAAGGTTATAGCTTAAGCTCTTCAGAGGGAATGAAATCCTTTCATTCAGGCCAAAAAACGAGTTGACATTTCAATGAAAGGCGACATAACAGGATGGACTGGACAGATGTTTGTAGCAGAGCTCTGCAGATGTTTACTCTCCAGTGTTCGTTCTCAATATGAGCGTGTTTATTGTGTTCCAGTTTTGGCCACGCGCTGCTACCGGGTGAGGGCGCTGCCATGGCGGAGTACGTGAAAGCCGGCAAACGCATCCCCAGAAGAGGAGAAATCGGCCTCACCAGCGATGAGATCGCTAACTTTGAGAAGTCTGGCTACGTGATGAGCGGCAGCAGGTACGCAGCAGCCAGATTTATGGAGACCCAAGGGTTTTATGCTCCTTTCAGTGGACTTATTTTTTTACACCCAACTGTCTCCTCAACTCGTCCCACATCAGCTCAATCCGCTAAAACGAGTCGGGAGCAGGAAATAATTCAGGCTCGACTTCTTAAAAATAAGGAAAAATCAATAGAAATGTTTCTGTTCCCATGTGGGGGTTCCTTGTTTAGTCAAAGCCAACACATTTTCAAATCTCGTCCCGCAGACATCGGCGAATGGAGGCCGTGCGTCTGAGAAAGGAAAACCAGATCTACAGCGCAGACGAAAAAAGAGCTCTGGCGTCCTTCAACCAGGAGGAGAGGAGAAAGAGGGAGAGCAAGATCCTGTCCAGCTTCAGGGAAATGGTGTACCGGAAAACCAAAGGCAAGGACGAGAAGTGAACGGCTCCCAGCGTTTCCTGTTACCGGACACCGCGTCAGGACGAGTGTTGTATTTCTGAGACTGCCCCCATTTGTTCTGCTTTATCATTCTGCACTGAGAAGATTAGCAGTAAAACCATATCAGTGCTTTGTGTCCTCCATCCTTTTATGATCTTTGAATTGTCTTTTTGTTGTAAATTTCTGCTGAAAATAACAGTTAATAAATTTTAAGAACTGCAGAGGGAGGCTTGTAATTTTTTCTGTTTATTCTTCAGTGTTAATGTGAATCTTGAAATAGTTTAAGAAAGATTATCAAAAAACCTGAAAATCCCAGTAACTTTTCAGGAAGAATCAGAAAAATAGCATTAGCAGATGTTAGGAAGGTCAAAACTTCCGAATGGTTTGAGTGGTGGCAAAAATATTTTTCCCCCCAACAAATCTCACCAAAATATTCTGAAAAATGTCCACAAACTTCTTGTATTTCAAATATAAAAACGAATTAATTTCAGGAAGAAGGGACGATTCTATTATAATGAGCAACATTTTCATCTAATGAGCAGACTGGAGGATAGTAAACGCTCAGCTTGTGGTTTAATAGGATGTGATTTTAGTTCCCTTCGATTCACCCAACAACATGAAAAGATTTAAGAAATCCACATGAGAATCTTCATAAAGACTTCCTGTGTGGAACATTTTAATGGGATTCAGAAACAACTGCCTTTCTTGCTTTTCTAAGACAAAAACAAACAAATGCATGTTAAATATTATATATTTTTTAATGTACAGCGATGAACTTCCTGCTTGTGGGGTCATCTGTGCTCCTTATCAGTTGATGTTCTCAAGTCCCTGTGGGAGGAAAAAAGAACCATTTCAGTATGAGGAGTATCCCTGTTTTATGTTTCTATAACCATCTGTCAGTGTGCAAATGTAGGTCCTGCCCGTTGGATTTAGACTGAGAACCTTTCATTTTCCTTCGGAATTGAATATTTTGTATGAACCTTTATCTAATTTCAGTTGTGACGTGGGTTTTTAAAGAGAGATGTCCAGAAGACCTCACCTAATGTGTAGTTTTTATCAAAAATATGTAATATGAAATATATATATATATATATATATATATATATAATGCCAGTGTGTTTGGAACAATCCCCGAGATAAGATAAATAAACAATGTTTTCAAAGTTAGAAATATCAGTTCTGCTAGATTGTCTGGTTTTCGTGGACGTGAACAAAAAAAATCCGCTCACCTTGGAGTCATAGTAACGGCCGGTTTGGGCCACTCTCCTGTCCCTCTCCATGAGATACCACTGCCACGGGACACGGGCGACTCTCTTCTCCTGCAATGCCCACGGGAGACTAAGAGCTGGCAGAACACACGGCGCCGTAAATCGGCGGAGTTGACAACTGCAGTGAGGTTCTCACCTTCCCTCCGTTGGTGAACTTCTGGATTTGTGCGGTGGCGATGCCGGGAATGATCAGACACGCGGTCATAATGCCGAGGCCGGGCAGGATTTCATACCACATGGCTCCTAATAATAACTGCCAGACTTCAGCAGCACGCGTCAGGAAAATCCTAAATTGTAGGATGGTTTATTTTGCTAAGAGGCTAACAAAATGTCGAATGTCCCAATGACCTATGTTCTGCCACCGGAAGAAGAAGGTATTTCCTGTTGAGACTTTTCAAACTAAGAGCCTCTAACATAATCGGAGACAAAAGAGATGCGAGGAAACATGGGCCAGTGTTTTGTGCATACTTTTACCCATAGACATATATACATAGACGCCGCATTGAGGGCTGCATCGTACGTCAACGTCACCGCCATCTTGAATGTGGCAAAGTGGCAAATCGGAGTCAGCAATCAGACAGTGAACCGGTGTAAATCTCAGGGTGAGCATCAGAGCTGCTCACCCTAAAAAACTAAGGATGTGATTCCACAAACTGAGGCCAGTATGTATGTATGTATGTATGTATGTA